GGGAAGGCAGTAGAGCATGGCCCTAGCATTTGGGCCCCTCCCACCTACATGGGAGTTCCAGATGGCAGAACCCAGATCAGAACTGATTGTTTTGACCAGTTGGGGAGTGAACCAGCAGATGGAAGGTTTCTCTGTCTCTTCCTCTCTTTGTCATTCTCTTTCAAATGAATAAAATAGTTTAAAAAGTTTATTTTATTTATTTGAAAGGCTGAGTTACAGACAGAGAAGCAGAGTCAGACAGAAAGAGATCTTGCATTAGCCCCTGGTTCATTCTCCAAATGGCCACAATGGCTGGGGTTGGGTCAGGCCGAAGACCAGGAGCCAGGAGCTTCTTCTGGGTTTCTCACATGGGTGCAGGGGCCCAAGAACTTGGGCCATCCTCTGCTGGTCTCCCAGGTGCATTAGCAGGAAGCTGGATCAGAAGTGGAGCAACTGGGACTTGAATTGGTATAAGGCCGCCACAAAGCACACCAAACTGTTGCTCCCCCTCTTCGTGGAGGAGCAACACAGGACCCTGCGCTGTTCTTTCGTCTGCTCGGCCCTTCCCGGGTTTGCTGCTGGTTCTTCCCGGGTTGGCTACTATCCCTTCCACCTCCGTGGAAGGGCAGTTCCCCCTGGCCGCTTTCCCCACTTCCGCAGGGGAGCGGCACTCCGCCGGCCGGCTTTCTCGGGGGCTGCACAGGTGTTCCCCTTAGATGTTCCCCTTAGATGTTCCTGGTGCATGCCGTCTCTCTCCTCCTTTATAGTCCTCCTCCGCCAATCCTAACTCGGCTGCCCACACGCCGAGTACGCTGCTCTCCTCCAATCAGGAGCAAGTCCTACAGTTTATTGGTTGAACTGGAGGCAGCTGTGCGGAAGCTGTTTACTTCTCTCCCAGCGCCATATTGTGGGAGAGCAGATGCATAGAATAAGTCTTAATTCCAGTAACTCAGTCTAGTCCGGGCTGCTCCCCACACAAACACCGGAGTAAGGGAAAGGGTTTGTTAGTAAAATGGTACAGCCTGATCTGTGGCGACATCTTAGACGCTGGCCCCCTCACCATTTTGTACACTAAGCTACATTCTAAGCCCAGTCTGGCTTACCAGAAGACAGGTGACCAAATGGCCCAATCACAAGGGTCAGCTCCTCCCGCACCCTAATGGGATTTGCTGCTCCCACTTCCTTACCTCTGCAAAGCTACATAAGACCTGTTCTCCCAGTACGGGCTGCTGTTCTCTCTCTGCCCAGGGAGGCTGTCTGTCCGGTTTCCCCCACCTGACAATAAACCTTTTCCCTTACTCCAGTGTTTGGTGTGTTTTGTGGTAGCCTTGCCTTTCAGAGTATATTGATGGGGGAAACCCGACAGGTCAGAGGGAAGGGGCAAAGAAGAGAGGAAGAGAGGTCCGGAGAGAAAGATCAAGAGAGAGAGAGAGGGTGAAGAGAGATGTGGAAACAGAGAGCACGTGTGCAGGAAGCAGGTCCTGTTAAACCTTTGCCAGCTGGGTGGGGAGGGAGGGCGGGGAAATAGGAGCAGTGAATCCCAGTAGGGAGGGGGTGGAGCTGACACCGGTGGTTGGGCCATGGGGCTTAGGACGGGAAGCTTACTGTGCAAGGTGGCAATGGGGCCAGAACCTAAGATGGCTTCCGGGGCATAGATGGCACCACAGATAAGGGCAAAATTTTGCTAACAACTGGCGCCATATAGGATGCCGTTGTTCTCTGATAACCATTCATTGCTTTTACATTAGTAATAGAATTCCCAACTTTTAGCTGGGCACCCAGAACACACATTCCACCTTCCAGCTCCCCTGGCAGCTTGATGGGGCTGTGTAAGTTCTGGTTAGTGAAGTGTGTGTGTGAAATGATGGATGCCAACTCTGGGTCCTGCATTTAAAGGGAAGTGTAATGCATTCCCCCTTCCCACTGGCTTGAACTTGGTAGCGACTGACCTTGATCCATGAAGATGAGGCCCATGCCCTTGGGATGATGAGATAGCAAGTCACAGGTACTGAGATCCACTACACCATAAAGTCATTCTATCTGCTATGAATGGACACATGAGCAAGATATCATCATCTCAATCACGTCAGCCATTGCATGTCTGGTTCTCATTACCATGGGAGGCCCCAGATGCACTTGGCAGTCCGTGGCAGTTTTAAGGGTCTGGTGCTCTGGGTAGCTGAGGTCAGGGTGGGAGAAGCTTGGGAAGGCCTTTAGAAGGAGCAGCCTTTCCGTGGTTGGGGTAAGGGATCCTCCTCGTGAGATCAGGCCCTGTGCAGTGCTCACGGTGGAGTCCCGCAGCCAGCAGCCCTGCAGAAAGCATAGCCTTGTGTTGCCTGGAAGACTCCCAGCTACAGGCTCCGTATCTCGAGGCAGCCAGTCCTTAAGTGAATCGGTGCCTTTGAAATGGCCCAGTGTGGAAATCTGGCAGGAACACTGGCTTTTTTTGACAAATCTGAATGAAGAGCTTCAGACAGTAGCAGGGGCTCCTTAGGGTTAGGGCGTGAGAAGAGAGCAAAGTCACGTGGTTGAGGGCAGCACAAGACAGAGCAGAATTTGCAGGAGTAAAGGTCAACGCAGGTTGAAAGGGTGGGCAGGGAGCTGTTCCGTAGAGAACAGATGAGAGCAGAGAGAGGAGCATCCAGGACTCGAACTGGCGCCTATATGGGATGCTGGCACTGCAGGTGGCGGCTTTACTTGCTAAGCCACAGTGCCTGCCCAAGGCTCCACTTTTCATCCTTACCATTACTGTTATGTCCTCAGAATCTCTCGAGAACCTCCTCACTGACAGATCACTTGCTTCCAACTCCCCGGGATCATCCCAAAGAGTGAATCTGATCAGTTGGCTAAACTGCATAGAATTTTTTCAGTGGCTCCTCACTGCCCACTGAAGATTTTTTTGTTTGTTTGTTTCTTTAGAGAGAGTCAGACAGACAGAAAGACACGCACACATAGATCCTATCTGCTGGTTCATTCTCAAATGCTCAACAATGGTTGAGGCTGGGCCAAGGCTGAAGCTGGGTGCTGGGAATTCAATCAGACCAGTAGGAACCCAGTCACTTGGGTCATCACCCCTGCATCTGACAGTCTACACTGGCAAGAAGCTGGAGTCTGCAGTCAGAGTTGGGAATAGAATCTAGGTACTTGCAAATGGGATGTAGGCATTTTAACCACTAGGCTAAACACCCACTCTCTTAAATGCAGTTTTCTGAATCCCTGAAGTTGGCAAATTTTGCACAGATGTGCATTTTTTCTGAAGAAAGCTTTGGATTCTCTAAGGGCCTGGGAGACAGGCACCTCAAGTGACAACATAAACACACAAGTGAGACAGATCTCCCAACCTCCCTCTCGAATCTGCTCTCCCAGCATTTCTCCCATGCTACCGAAACTGCAGTCATTCTGAAGTTCTCTCCTTGCCTGACAGCCCATTCCTTTCTCCATGTCACGTCTTTACACCTGCTTTCTATCTAGAATGCTCTGGCAAACTACACATCCTAATAGCTTAACTCAAAAGCTGCCTCTTCTATGAGGCCTTCCTGACTCTCTCTGGCCCAATCAGACTCCACAGCACAGACTTTCATCATTTATTTGTTATGTATTTATTATTAGCCATAGTTTGTCTCCTTCACAAACCAAGAACTCTGGAGCCCAGGAGCCTGAATAGACAATCCACAGATTTGTTGATGAAAAAAAAAAAAAAAAACAAAAAAAATGGAGCACCTTTTTTTAAAATTTATTTGAAAGGCAGAGATACAGATCTTCCATCCGCTGTTTCACTGCAATGGACTGAAGCCAGGAGCCAGGAGCGTCTTCTGGGTCTCCCACCTGGGTGGCAAGGGCCCAAGGACTCAGGCACATTAGCAGGGAGCTGGATAGGAAGTGGAGCAGCCAGGACATGAACCAGTGCGAATGTGGGACGCTGGCACTGCTGGCGGCAGCTTTACCTGCTATGCCACAGCACTGGTCTGCCTGGGTGCCCTTTCGAAAAAGTAAATCAGAAGAGTTGTTTCTTATGTTTCTATTCTCTTCAAGTTTTCCCTTAAAGTCCTGGGAAACAATTTTCTACAGGAAAATGGATGCTCTTTAAAAGCTGCTGCTCGGGCTGGCATTGTGGTGTGGCACGTAGTCACCAACTGCAGGCGCCAGCATCCCATATAAGTGACAGTTGTCCTGACTGCCCCACTTCTGGTCTAACTCCCTGCTAATGTCCTGGCGCTGTGGCTCAGTGAGTTAAGTCACCGTCTGCAGCGCCAGCATCCCATATTGACTCTGGTTCAACTCCTGGCTGAACCACTTCCAATCCATCTCCCTGCTAATGCACCCAGGAAAGCAGTGGAGGATGACCCAAGTGCTTGGGCCCCTGCATCTATGTGGGAGACCCGGAAGAAGCTCCTGGCTCCTGCCTTTGGCCTGGCCCAGCCCCAGCTGTTGTGGCCATTTGGGGAGTGAACTAATAGATGGAAGATTTTTCTCTATGTAACTATCTTTAATAGAAAAATAAATTAAGAAAAAAAAAGCCAATGCTGCGGCCGGCATCAGGCACCTTGCTATTTTGATAGACACCTGCTGAGTGAATTCTGCAGCAGAGGGTCAGTGAGAGGGAGACAGGTGCCGCCTACTCCTGTTGGCACATTGAGGGCTCAGGTGTTTCAGTGCAATGCAATGGTAAGGAGGGAGGAGATTATGCAACCACATTCAAAACCCAAGCCTAGAAGGAACAAAGTAAGAGTCTCAGATTGGAAAGACTTTTTGGTAATGATGAGTAGCTGTCTTCAAACTTCAAGCTAACTAGTTTGTCTTCTCCAGTAAAAACTATTTTTAATAACTGGAGTCAACTGAGATTTGTTAAGTGGCCCGATGAAAATTGTCACCCTCATGTGAGATGTGGAAACAGATCCTAAGCCAGCAACACAGGACCTCCCCCCACCCTCTGCCAACTGTAAAAACAGGATAAGAAAACCCGCATTGCTGATTTCCAGAACCAAGAGCAGAGAAATGCAAAGAAACTTCAAGACAGAAGATGGAGAGGCAGCATTTTAATACACCATCAACAAGGCGAGGCCGCAGCCTAGTCAGCCGAGGTGCGGCTGGAGCCCGGTAGCAGCAGCAGCAGCCCCTGGCAACCGGGCAGAGGGGCAGAGGGGCAGAGGCTCAGGGCTTGCCCCACCCTCCTGCAGGCTGACCAGCTCCCAGGGGATTTGTATGCACATCAGCGTTTGCAAAGCGCGGAGCTAGACTGGGGATTAATGGAGGTTTTGCTCTGGCAATGTGTTTTGAAAGCACGTTTTAGCTCACTCTGTGCTCCGGTCTCTCCGCCTCTGAGCAGCATCAACACACGTCAGTCGGCCAGTGTTCCAGCCCGAGCCCTGGAGCTGCTCTTAGGAATCACGGCAGCAAAAGCAGTGTGCGGCTCCATTCCTGTAGACAGCCTTTATGGGTTATAAATTGGATTCCAAAACTTCCACCAGCTGTTTCTTGCATGGCACCCCCCGGGATGCGGGTTGGATGATGATTTCTGTTTTCAGAGATGATGAAACTGGAGCCCAAGGAGGCTTTGTGAAGCATCAACAGCACCAGGCAAACCAGCATCCCCGCCAACATGTGAGGCTCACCAACTGTGCTGTGCCTCCTCCCAAGGGCATTTTTTGCATAAGAGATTTTAAGGAAGTACACACTCACGGATGCGAGCTATGGTACATGAACCATGCCTGCATGGCCTCAGGGAATACGGCACCTTAGGGAAGAGCTGTCTGGTGGTGGGCACTGTCAGTCTGGGAGGGCCCTGCCCTGCTCTCACGCTCCTGGGGCAGCCCAGCAGCTGCTTGCTCACAGGGCTATGCAGGGAAGCACCAGGCATTACCATGAGGCCACGGCCACGGCTATGGAGGGGAGGTGGTGACGTGCAGATGACAGCAACCCATTCCCGGGAGGAAGCTCATTCTGATTTGTCTGTTCCTTTCCCAGGCTCAGAAGAGCTGATGTTACCGGACTCGGCCTGGATTTCCTAAGTCACATTTCCCAGGAGCGAACTGGAGCCACTGGATGGCTCAGAAATAGTCAAGACTGTGTGGTTGGCATCGGTGCCGATGTGCTTCTCCCCACCTTGTTGGAAGATTTAGGAACTTAAGATTCTGTGAAGCCCCTCCAAAGCAAGCTCCCCTCTATGCGGAGACTGTCCCCGGGTCCACCAGGGGACGCCAGCCAGAGTGGCTGCCCCTCCTCACCAGGCGTGCATATTCAGTGGGACAGAGTTGGGTATACTTGCAAAAAAAAAAAAAAAAAAAAAAAAAGACGGTGCACTTTCAAACTCCGTGTAAAAAGTATTGCTTTTCTAATGTGCGACTGTGCCAGCCTGCCTGCCTGCCTGCCTGCTTGCTACACGATGCTACAGAAGGGAGAGTCAGGAGGAGTTCAAGGCGGAAGATGTTTTGGATGTTTGGACAACACCAATGCACACCCCACACTCCCGTGCACTTTGCACCCTGCTCTGGAGCCCGAGCAGTTTTGGGGCTTGGCCTGAGGCAAAGACTACAAAGCATCCTAATGAGCAGAATATACAAGAGGAATGTATGTGCATATTTGACATAGCTGTTCTCTGGAGGGGCAGCCCTCTGGCTCTGACCCCTGCTCTCTCCAAGGGCGAGGGAGGAGTCCAGAGAAGGAGCTTTTGTTCTCCTCGCTGCTTCTGTGGCAGCCCTTACAGCCCCAGGGACCTGCCCTGCTCCGCGTGGGCCCGCAGAAGCCCTGCCATTTCCACAAGGGCGGCGGAGTTCAGAGCGATGGACAAAGCTGTGCGGCCAGCCTACAGGGGAGAAAGAAAAGAGAAAGCCACGTTATCCTCTCTGCCGCCCAGCCCAGACGGAATGGACGCTTGGGAGTCGGGGGTCTGACAGGTGGCTGGGGTCTCTTCCTAGGATCCACAGACCCCAGGAGAGAAGGAGGTTCAGGTGGGATGAGAGTCAGGAGAACTGGCCCCTTCCCCACTCACTGTGAGGACTGCACTAATGCTAACGGAAAACAGCCATGCTTTTTTCAAAAATTGAAAACCAGAGGAACAATCACTCTTCCTGTTCCATTCCACAGACCTACCTGAAAGTCTCCCCAGTCTGCTCTATGCAAATTTGTTATTGGTTTTTAAATAGAGGAATGATAATGTACATCAATTTTGAATATCTGCTTTTATTTTAAACTTACCATGGTACGCCACAAGATTTTTCCCTGTTCTTATGTAGTCATCAAGATACATGAATTTTTTGACTGCATAATATCCTATAATTTGCTATCCATTTTCTCCTTCTGTGGGAGACTCAGGTTGTTCTCAAGTTCCCACTAATATAAACAAGCAAAACTTATTTTTCCATTTTTAATTATTTCCCAAGGGCTGACTCCTGGACATGGGCTCACAGCAGGAGGAACATGCACGTTTCTAGCACCTGGTACTCGATGTTATAGTGCTTTTGAAGACAAGTTCCTACCCCCCAATAGATACCCTCTTGACTCGCAAAATTTTAAAGTCTCCTGTTGTGTTTCCCATTTCTTTCCCAAAACCAATCCCCATTTTCAAAAGTTTGTTTATTTGAAAGGTGCAGTTAGAGAAGGAAAGAGAGAGAGACAGAGAGAGAAGAGAGAGAGAGAAAGATACTCCATCCACTGGTTCACTCTCCAAATGGCCACAACAACTGGGACTGGGCCAGGACAGAGCCAGGAACCAGAAGCTTCTTCTGGGTCTCTCACTGGGTGCAGGGGCCCAAGGGCCATCTTCTGTTGCTTTCCCGGGTATATTAGCAGGGAGCTGGATCAAAAGTGGAGCAGCCAGGAAGACTTAAACCAGAGTCCATATGGGATGCTGGCATCACAGTGGCAGCTTCACCAGTCACGCAACACCTGCCTCACCTATCCCCATTTAAAAAATATTTATTTGAAAGACAGAAAGAAAAAGAGATATCTTTTATTTGCCAGTTCATTCTCCAAACGCCTGCAATAGCTAGGGCTGGGCCAGGACAAAACTAGGAGCCAGGAACTCCATCTGCGTCTCTCACACGAGTGCAAGGGACCCAACCACCTGAGTCTTCACTTGTTGCCTCCCGAGGCAAGAAGCTAGAATCAGGAGCTGAGCAGGAACTTGAACGCAGAAACTCTGATTTGGATCTGGGAGTCTCCCCCAAAGGAACCTCCCCCTCCCATGTCCTTTTTTTTTTTTTTTTTTTTTATTGATTGATTGATTTGAAAGGCTGAGTTACAGAGGGGCAAAGGCAGAGAGAGAAAGAGGTCTTCCATCCACTGGTTCAGTCCCCAGCTGGCTGCAACAGCCATTGCTGGGCTGATCCAAAGCCAGGAGCCAGGAGCTGTTTCCCGGTCTTTCACGTGGATCTTGGCCATCTTCTGCTGCTGTCCCAGGCCATAGCAGAGAGCTGGATAGGAAGTGGAGCAGCCACGACTGGAAGTGGTGCCCAAGTAGGATGCCAGCCCTGCAGGCAGTGGCTTAACTGCTATGCCACAGTGCCGGCCCCTCATGTTCTGTTCTTCAACAATAGGATCTAACAGCCAGCTCTGTGGTGTGGTGAGTTGGGCTGACACCTGCAGCACCCACAACCCATATGGGCATTGGCCAGTCCTGGCTGCTCCACTTCCAATCTGGTTCCTTGCTGGAGCACCTGGGAAAGCTGTGGAGGATGGCCCAAGTGCTTGGGCCCTTGCACCTATGTGCGAGACCTGGAAGAAGCTTCTGGCTCCTGGCTTCGTCCTGGCCCAGACCCAGTTATTGTGGCCATTTGGAGAGTAAACTAGTGGATGGAGGATCTCTCTTTCTTCTTCCCTCTCTCTCTGTAACTCTGCCTTTCAAATAAATAAAGTAAATCTTAAAAAAAAAAAGAAACAAAACTCAATAGGATCTAGCAAAAAAAAGTCAGATTACTAAATCACTCTCTAAGGTTTTTAAATTTTTTCAACAAGCTTTATTTTTTAAAAAATTGATTTCTTTCTTTCTTTTTTTTTTAACAGGCAGAGTGGACAGTGAGAGAGAGACAGAGAGAAAGGTCTTCCTTTGCCGTTGGTTCACCCTCCAATGGCCGCCGCGGCCGGCGCATCGCGCTGATCCGAAGGCAGGAGCCAGGTGCTTCTCCTGGTCTCCCATGCGGGTGCAGGGCCCAAGCACCTGGGCCATCCTCCACTGCACTCCCTGGCCACAGCAGAGAGCTGGCCTGGAAGAGGGGCAACCAGGGACAGAATCCGGCGCCCCGACCGGGACTAGAACCCGGTGTGCTGGTGCCACAAGGTGGAGGATTAGCCTATTGAGCCACGGCACTGGCTAAAATTGATTTCTTTATTTGAGGCAGAAAGAGAGAGATCTCCCATTCACTAGTTCTCTTCCCAAATGCCTGCCACAAGCCCTTGCTGGGGCTGAAACCTGGAGCCAGAAACTCAATCCAGGTCTCTTAAGTGAATGGCAGGAACCCAACCACTTGAGCCATCATCCACTGCCTCCCAGGGACTACATTAGCAGGAAGCTAGAACCAGGTGCTGGAGCTGGGACTCACCTGGGCACTCCAATGTAGGCCAAGGCATTTTAACTGCTACACCAAGCACCAAGCCTTCAGAACAGCGTCGCCACCAGGACAGAGTTGGGCTGTAACCACCTGGCACCCTTGCTAACGCCTCACACCATTAAACCTTTCTCTTCCCAAAAGTCCCTGTCGCAGGTAGCATTTGTGCACACTGAGCGGCGAGCCTACCTTGCTCAGCCACACTTTTGCACGTGCAGGAAGTTGACAGTCCTGTCTAAAGAAGCTGCGCCAGAAGGGGCTCCTGTCCAAGGGCCCTGGCCAGCTGGAGGGACAGGCTGGCGCCACATGGACGATGAGCTCCATGACGCAGCCTCAGTCACTTGCCCGCGAGCTACACCCGCATCCAGAGATCTGAGACCACTTTTCTGGGCAACCTGTTTGGAGGTGAAGCCTGACCGTGGCTCTCTGTGACCCTCACTTAGCTTAGTGTGAATATTTTTACATTTGCTATAGGAGGATGAATGGGCTTGATGGGTAAGGGCTGAGGGACCACTGGGGCGGGACAGGGTCCTTCAATGCCAGAGTCCTGGGGACAGCCCACGGCCAGCGGCTCCTATGGGAGGCAGGCCTGGGGAAGGTGACCCTGACTGCGACAGGAAGAGAGGGCAGGCTCAGGCAGCCAGTGTGTGCATGCGTGCGTGTGCGGCTCAGGCAGCCAGTGTGTGCGTGCGTGCGTGCGTGTGCGGCTCAGGCAGCCAGTGCGTGCGTGTGTGCCTGTGCGTGTGCATGTGTTGAGGTGTGGGGCAGTGTCTTTCAATATGACAGAAACTTATGAACCTGCTTTGTGGCAGGCAAGAGACAAGGCATAATGGAGGCCATCAGGAAGTTGACAACTGAACAGGTGCTTTGAGGGCCCCCGGGGCCTGGCGGGCACTCCTCCCTCTCCCCCTCCAAGTCCTCCTCACTCCTGCAGCCCGGAGAACTGGGTGGCTGGGTTCCTTGCTTTGCCTTCTGAACCTCAAAGGCTTTGTTGGCTCTGTGGAAGCAGCGCAGGCAAACTGATTGCAGGACGAGAATTCTCTCATCTTCCAAGGGAAAGCTCGAACTACCCCTGCTGTTGACTTCTGGTTCTTTATCAGTGAAAACAACGCAGGCACAACCCCTACCTACCTGAGTTACTGGGATTACAAGGAATGCATGGAAAAAGTTAATTCCCAAGTCTTCCAGGAAAATTACCTCCTGCAGTAGTGACCAGGACCAGGAGTACTTGCTGACCGACTGGCCTCTGAAGGGCAGGGGTTGGCTCACGGCACTGTTGAGTCCTCTGCCGGGTGCGGCGGGGGAGGGGGCTCGGCAGGGAGGCAGAGGCATGGCTTCAGCCTCGTGACAACAATGCGGATGATGGAGCAGTCACAGTAAGTAAGGGCTTGGGGGTTTAACCGGGCTGGGCTCCACCGGCTGTGTGACTGTGGGTTTGCAGCCTAACTATTAAGCGCTTGTGCGGGGCCGGCACTGTGGTGCAGCAGTTTAAAGGCCCAGCCTGCAGCTCTGGCATCCCATATGGGCGCCGGTTCGAGTCCCGGCTGCTCCACTTCTGATCCAACTCTCTGCTATGGCTTGGGAGAACAGTAGAAGATGGCCCAAGTCCCTGCACCCACGTGGGAGACCCGGAAGAAGCTCTTCGCTCGTGGCTTTTGATCAACTCAGCTCTGGTCATTGCCGCCATTTGGGGAGTGAACCAGTGGATGGAAGACTTCTCTCTCTCTCTCTCTGTGCCTACCTCTCTGTAACTCTGTCAAATAAGTAAAATAAATCTTTAAAAAAAAAAGTGTCTGTGTTCCCTGGAGCAAAATGCAACAGCAGTAGAGTGAGCCCCTCGAGGTGGCAGAGGGGTGTAAATGCGATGTTCCATCGTGAATGCTTGCTGCGGCACCTGGCACAGAGCAGTCAGTTATCACTATCGGCGTCATCAGTGTCATCACCGCCGTCGCCTCCCACGCAGTTGATTGAAGGGGCTTGGGTCTGGCAACTCCACGCTGGCTGGTCTGAATACCTGGGCCCCTCCGTGCAGCAGGTCATGACCAGAAAGAAGCCTCTGGAAGCTGGGCTCCTTCATCGAGATCCCCAGGTTCCCAGTGGCCGGCCTAGCTCGCTCATCTAAGCTGCTGCCACGAAGCCCACGTGCTGTTACTGCCACGACAAGAGGGGGTTCAGGGTCCCCCAGGACCTTATTGTGAAAGGCTGGGGTTGGGGGTTCCCTAGCTCTCAGCCACCAAGCACCTACCATGCATCATCTCACTTAAATCCCGCAGCAGCCTGATGAGGTTGGTTTTATTGCTAATGCCCTGTGGCTGGCAAAGCACTTTCAGGACTGGAAGTTTAGCCCCTGCTTTGTAAAAGGCCTGCAAGTCTCACCTTGTCAGTCAGATTGCTGTCGCAGGCCGGGTGTGCCAGGAGCAGCCGCACCAGGTCGGCGTTGCCATGGTGACAGGCCAGCATGAGGGCTGAGGATCCCTCGTGGTCTTGCAGGTTGACGTCTGCCTGGCAGCTCAGGAGCGCTTGCACCATGTCCTCCCGGTCGTGGCTGACTCCCAGCATCAGCGCCGTCTGGCCCCCCTGCACACAGAGCCACAGGGACGTGGTGAGGTTGTCCTGGGCAAGGGCCCTCTCTGGTGTTGGTGGGGCGGGGGGGCTCAGCAAAGACTTCACAAGAGAATGCCCATGGGTCGGAATCTCCTCTGCCCTTGGTATGAGACACAGCCTTCTCTGCCCGGCAAACTCCAAGAACCTGGTCAAATGCTACCTCCTCTCCAAATCCCTCCCTGCCGCCCCAGGCTCGGGATCCAGCCCTCGGCGCGCACCACTTTCTCACGGCCCGTGACACTGCTGATGGCAGGGTCTAAGCCTTTCAGGTCTCTGCCTCTGCAGGGCCTAACCCCACGTCCTTGCTGGTGAGCGCTGGCTGAGGCAACAGAGGAAGGCTGAAGCTTCAGCACCATGGCTTCGGCCAGGGTTTGGATGTAGTGTGAGTGTGTCCCCCAGGGGTTCACGTGCTGGAAGTGTGGTCCCCAGTGTGGTGATGTGAGAGGTGATGAAACCTTGGAGAAGTGGGGCCTAATGGGAGGTAACAGGTGACAAGGAGTACTGCCCTCAAAAGGATTAGTGCTGGTCTCTTGTAGGGGGTTTATTCAAAGAGCCAGCCTGATCTGTGTCCTCCCCGGGTTCCTGTCACACTGTGATCTCTGTTTCCCACACGCACTCCCACCACTGTCATGCCATTGACCTTGGGTTCTCACTGGAGGCCCAGTTGATGACTTCATCTGATCTTGGACTTCCAGACTCCAAAACTGTGAGCCAAATAAGCTTCTTTTCTTTACATATTATCCAGCGTTAAGGATTTGGGTATTGCAACAGACTTCTTATGGTCCACCCCAGCCTAGCTTTCTCTAGGAAGCCTTGGTCTGCTCAATGCTTCTGGTATTTTCAGATCCCCAGAAGCCTTTTGTCTCAACAAAATCTCTGCATGCCCCATGGCCATCTCTTGTTGGCAGGCATCAACAATAATCTTTCAGTGCACACAGCAAACGACTGGAGACAGGAAGCAGGTCCAGGCGCTGGTTGTGCTGTTTACTGGCGTGTGACCCTGCCCACAGCACTTGTCTTCCTTGAATCTTGCCTGTTTTTTTTTTCCTTCTTCTTCTTTTTCCCTTAAACATTAACATCGTAAAGGGCTTTTGCAGGAACCAAATGAGATGAAGGATGTATACATAGTAATGTATGGTGGTGGTAACTTTTCTGATCATAATTCGCCCATTATTTTTCATTTCCCATAGATCTTGCATACACTGTGCATATTTCTGTATTTTCCTACAGTCTTCTCATGCAACTTTATTATATTTGCCCTCATGGTTTTCCAGGGCTCCAGAAAGGTCAAGAGCGTCTCTCTGGCACCAGGCTTTGTGTCCCCTGTGGCCCTGTGCCTTACATATGACAAGTGCTAAGATGTGTTTTTTGATGGGTGCTAGCTAATTAAAGCTGCAATTTGGGGGCTGGTGCTGTGGCTCAGTGGGTTAAGCCACTGTCTGCAGTGTCAGCATCCCATATCGGCCCTGGTTCAAGTCCCAGCTGTTCCACTTCTGATCCAGCTCCCTGCTAATGCACCTAGGAAAGCAGCAGAGAATGGCTGAAGTGATTGGGCCGAAGTGTTTTGGCCATTTGGGGAGTGAACCAGCAGATGGAAGAACTCTCTCTGTCTCTCCTTCTCTCTGTGTAACTCTGCCTTTCAAATAAATAAGACTTAAAAAAAACCACACAACCCTGCAATTTGCTGTCACTGACGAGTTGGGCCTCCTTGTTCCAATGTCAAGAAAAGAAGGGGGCTTAGAATCAGAAATACCCTGGCTCTGCCACGTGGTGAATGTGTGCTGGTTAACCTCTCTATGACCTTGCCTGGTCTGTAAAATGGGAATGGTTAATAGCAGGAACTCCTCATGGGGCAGCAGCGAGACCAAAGTGTGAACAAGTCCGGGTAAGTGTTGACTATCATGAGCACTCAGAGGGGTGGAGACAGCGGCCGACAGGTGCCCAGGTATGTGGGCACAACCAGCAGTCTTCAAAGTGTTCACGCAAGGTGTGTACCACGAAAACCACACATGGATTTCAACCTTTTTTTTGCACCAGGATACATCTTTTAAAAGGCTTTTAAATGCACTTGTTTTGATTAATTTGAAAGGCAGAGAGACAGAGAGAACAACAGAGATAGAGATCTTCCAGGTGCTGTTCACTCCCCAGATGTCTGCAAGAGCTAGAGCTGGGCGAGGCTGAAACCAGGAGCCTAAAACTCAATCTGGGGTGGCAGGGGCCCAAGTACTTAAGCTACCTTGACCCAAGGTGCACATTAGCAGGAAGCTAGAATTGGAGGTGGAACCTGGACGTGAACTCAGGCACTCCAGTGTGGGATGCGGGTGCCCCAAGGGCCACTTTATTGCTGCACCAAATGCCCACCTCTAAACTTATATCTTAATTTCATTTTTCCAGGAATCTTTTGAAGTACCCTCTTATTATTAGATGCTCTGGTTCCCCACCTCTCTGGAATTCTGACAGATCTTTCCAGAGAAACCTGTTTGCTTTTCTGGTTTGCTTCCACTCAGCCTTGAGGGAATAGCTGTTTACTGGGCTGAACAGACCATGTGGTTTCACCCAGACCCCTCTCTCCAACCGTTGTTAAAGCTAAGTGACACAGGCATGATGTCCTCATGTGTGCTCCTCTGCCTGACTCAGGGCGTCTTCCTTCCTCCTAGAAGTCCAGCTCAATAAAATTTAATTCAAGGGCCATTGAGTGGTGCTACATGGCAGGCACTGCAAAGGGAAGTAAGTAGTAGATCCCTAGGGACCCCCAGCTCACTCCCATGTCACCAGCACCTCTGCCTCACCTCACAGGTGAGTGGAAGGGAGCAGCTGCAGCAATAAAGGCCCATCCCCTCCCTTGGTGACCTGGGCTGTGTCGTCTGTGTCTCCTCTACAAAAAGAAGGCGCTGTCTTTCATGGCTGCTGCGCATCTCCTCTTGCAAGAGGGCCAGTGTAGCAAAGCAAATGAACATGTGTACGGGAAACACGGAATTCAAGAGGAAAATAACTGTATGGAGTCTTCCGGAATAGGAGCTGTAGGTGGGAGGAAATACCTTGAAAACCAGAAAGTGCTCTACATATATGTATTTCCTGCCATCAGTGCGGCTGCCGTGAGCTGAAGCGACTTCGCCGTCGGGTTTGGCTGATGTCTGCCATCACTCTGGGGGAGTGTGGAACAGAGGTACATGCTGCCAGTCCACTGTCCCTGGGTTTCCTGTCTGTCTGAGGGTCTGTGAGGCACCATCTGCCCTTCTGCTCTAGGTCATCTTGTAGGGATGGTGAATAGCCTCAGAAGTCAAAGATGGTGTCTCTTTCTGAAACAAGGGCAGTCTTGCTTGCTGTTCTTTAGAGAAGATTCAGGTTCCCCAAGCACACAGTTCCTCTTCAGCAATGCAACCCACTCGGTGCTCAGGTACCTGGTCCCTTCCCACACTGTCCTGTGGGGATTGGGAATTAGGCGGTGCTAACGCTGTGGTTGCTGCTTTGCAGTGGGTTATACCTGTCTTCTGTCTGTGTCTCCTGCCAGCGTCGATGACACTGCAGGCGAATCTGTGCGCTTTAATGCAGATACCATCTCAGACTCTTCACGGTTCCTGACAGTTACACTACCATCTACATTCACTGTAGGAGGGAAGGAGAATTAAATGCACTCTATTCATTCTTGTGTGGTCAAAATTGGGCAGATGACCATGCAAATTTCCATGCAAAGTCTTGTCTCATTCAAGCCTTACTGGTTAAGGGCCATATCCCTACCCTTTGTTGTCAAGTGTAGGAACCCAAAAGCTGAACAGAGACATCCCAACCCTCTGAGTTGCCTTGTGCACCCTTGCTGTTTGTACGATCTTTTTTGACGTGAACCCCAGGCAGCTTTGCTTTAATCACTCTACAAAAGATTTCAGAGTCTCCTGCCTTGGGTCAGTTTAAGAAAGTTACTGGAGCTGTTCCCACTAACAAATGGGCTGTTCTGGTAGAATAGGAGTTTCCTGACCCTGGAGGTCATGGAGTTGGAAACCATTGTAAGGAAGCTGGAGGCCATCTGGTAGGGTTTTGCAAAAGGATAGGAGCTAGAGGGAGGTGATTTTTAAGGGCGTCCTTAGTTGGGGGAGGAGCTGATCCAGTGAACTAGTGGAGCCCACATGTCCTGACTTCCCAGCTACCACCTCTGTAGAGCGCCCCACTGGATCTTACAGCAATAGCTCTTCCCAGCTTGGCCTTGGTCTCTGCTATTTGGGAACCTGGGCATGATTTGTGTGCCCAGAACAAAGTCACTCACACTGGGGAGAGGGGAGTTAGGAATGATGGGAATATCTTGACACCTGGTGATTTCAAAGACTGAGGAGGTATGCCTGGAAGATTAGTCACTAGCAGAAGTGTATAATAACTCTCTGAGCTAAGCTGAGGCCCACAGGGAAGGAGGGATGCTATATCCCCTGGGACTAAGCAGCAATAGCTCCTGTCTGCACTGGAGAGCCACACTTTCTCTCCACCAGGCTGGGACTTCATCACTGTTCAAAGGCTTTGAGTGAGAGATGTGAAGACAGGGGTGAGAACGGCTTGAAAAGACTGGACCTCTAAAGAGAAGCTGCCTACTTAGATGCTTGTGAGCCATGATCAAGGTGGGTCATCCACAGGGGCCGTCCTAGAACAGCCAACCAGCAAACACCTCTTCGAGATGTACTGTTTAGGAATGTTTGGTCCAAGAAATCAAGTCCAGGTAGGATTTTCCATTTCAAATCATGTCCACACCACCTACCTGCGTAGCCTGGATGTTCACATTTCCTTCCCTTAAGAGCTTCCAGACAACAGCCATGTCTTCATCAGTCTCCGCCGAAGCCAAGGGTGTGATCATCACAGCAGTGTAGCCGGCTTTGTTCTGATGATCCACATTGCAGACACCTGCAAGAGAAGCCACAGGGCTGGGACGGTTCCCCAGGGCCAGAAGCCAGACTCCACGCCAGCCAGTTCAATAGGACGCTGCCCGTTGGTTAGAAAGCCACGGGACAGTGGGGGAACCACTGGTTTACATTTTTCGTAGGCTTTACAACCGGCCACTTTTCTTTATACATTTTCTGAGGATCCCCAGCCAGGGAGGTCTGTAATGGGACCAGAACTGGTCAACAGGGCCAATGATCACGACTTCATTTCCTTAAGGAGCACAGGAAATTAATCTCATTTACAGATGAAGACACCGAGGGTCAAGGGAGTTACAGAAACTGTCCAAGTGATGGTGAAGTGGGGCAGGACTCAGATCAGTCCGGCTGCGGGGTCGTGGCTCACCTGGCCACACACCACACACAGCTGTGCATTTTAAGTCTCGCTCTCACTGTCTTACGTCTTACGTTGATGGCTGTACTTATAAGGTCCTTTCCAAGGGCCTAGTGATTTGCTCAGCGATGTACCTGGGCATGAAAAATGCTACAGGATAGACATGGGAAATCCGGGAACTGTTAACTCACTTGGAAAGCAAAGGGAAGAAAATCTCCATCGTTTTTATATTACATCAATTAGGAACACATATTTCACAAATAGAATGAAAAACTGGCATCCTCTGAAGATGAAGTAGTGGGTGAGAATCAAGAAGAAATCCCTCCTTTGTAGTCTTAGGGTTACATACCCATGTCCCTCTCCACCCAAGGAGGGAGGAGATGATCAGACACAGGCTGGGGGCTGGTGTTGTGGCGCAGCAGGTTAACTGCCATCTGCAGTGCTGGCATCCCCTGTGAGTGCCAATGTCTCCTGGCTGCTCCACTTTCAAACCAGCTCCCCATTAGTGCACCTGGGAAGGCAGTGGAAGATGGCCCAAGTACTTGGGTCCCTGTTACCCATGTGGGAGACCTGAATGGAGTTCCTGGCTCCTGGCTTTGGCTTGGCACAGCTCTTGCCACTGGGCCATTTGGGGAGTGAAGCAGTGTATAGAAGCTCTGTCTGTCTCTTCTCTGTAACTCTGCCTTTCAAATAAATAAATAAATAAATCTTACAAACAAGTAAAACACACACAGACTGAGGCTGCTGTGAAAATGACCCCAGCTCTCAAGGGCAGTATTGTGAGAAAACCAAATCACCTGTGCACCACTGCTTACCCCCAACAAGGCTATACGGCTCTTTTGGGCAATAATCACACCTTCTCTTTTGGATTGAAACACTGGACCTTTCTTAGCATTTCCTCTCTGTGAAATGGGGATACTAACAGAAGCCACCTCATTGGGTGATTGTGCAATTTATTGTATTATTAATACATTGCATTAATATTGTATTATTAATACATTCAAAGCACTTAGAACACTACTCAGCCCACAGCAAATGCTCAATGAATAGTAACTGCTATTACTGTTATTTTCAGAGTGATATTCTTATAGACTTAGGCATTCATTATAACAAATCTGATTTATGGAAAAATGACAGGTAGAGTCATTTACAAGTTCTGTGCGAAGGGAAAAAGCCAATACTGGTTAAGTGTTCCCTCCACCTGGCAACTATTTAGGAATGTGCCACGGCGATACCAAGATGCCAGTGGGCAAAGCCAAGTCAGTATGGCTTGTTCACCTGCAGTTTTGTCTCAAGCCGCTTTGACTGTTGTCATGATCAGACAGGCTAACACGAACTGAGTAATAACTCCCGCATCACCTCTAGCTCGTCCTGATAAAGCCGGGGACAGCTGCACTGCCTCGCGACTCCTCTTTCATGTTTGCCTTCAAGATGTGTAAGCAAGCCCCAGGCTACCAGTTCCCTTTCATCTCTTCAAAAACCTGATTCGCAGCTCAGGAGAGAGAGGTATGGGCTCAGAAAAGGAACTGAGGATCCAGGACCTTACCGTAGGTGCTTGGGAGCAGCCACGAGGGAGCAAGGCCAACCTCACTGGGCAGGGCGCTGGGCTGAGCAGCTGGTGACTTGACGGGCTGGCTCTGCCAGAGTGGTGCTCCGGGGAAGTAAAGGCGGGCACCGAAGGCTGAGCTGTGGACTCGCCGCAACAGTGAACCACGCTGTGTAGCACTTTACAGTTTGCAACGTGCTTTCCGGATGCCTCACAACTGCCTCCCACAGGGACCCAGGACTGGCGCTGCGAGGGGAAGTAATGGGACCTCCAGCCCGTTCTCCCAGCCCCCTTCCCGCTTTGTGGATCTTTAGCTGCTGCAGTGCGCTGGAGGGCGAAGCCTCCGAAATGCTCACAAGTTGATGAGTAGCAAACGGACTCCAAGGCCACAGCCGCAGACTCGGACCACGTCCAAATCTTAGGTTGTCAGTTCCAGCCTGGCCTGGCCTACTCACACCTTCCAACAAGTCCGTGAGAAGCTTAGAGACAAAGGCTACCCGTTCCTAACCTTTGGCTTCGTCGCACACACAGTAGGTGCTCCCCAAGTCTCATCTGGATTGAGGAAAAGCAGAAGAAACCCAGGCAGGGAGGTGACAGATCTTGGTTCAAATTCTGGTTTAGCCACCCACTAGTTCCACCACGTTACTGACATCTCTGAGCCACAGTTTCCTCACCAGGAAAATGCAGTTCATATGTGCTTCACAGTCCTGTAGGGATCGTAGTGTGGTGTGTATGTAGAGTGCACCTTGCCCAGTGTCTGGGACAAGGAAGACCCTCAAAAAGTGGTCGTGAAGCCGGCGCTGTGGTATAGAGGGGAAAGCTGTCACCTGCAGTGCTGGCATCCCATATGAGTGCTGGTTCAAGTCCTGGCTGCTCCACTTCCAACCCAGCTCCTTGCTAATGGCCTGAGAAAGCAGTGGAAGATGGCCCAAGTCCTTGGGGTCCTTGCACCCTCGTGGGAGACCTGGAAGAAGCTCCTGGCTCCTGGCTTCAGATTGACCCAGCTCCAGCCGTTGTGGTCATCTAGGGGAGTGAACCAGCGGGTGGAAGACCTCTCTCTCTCTCTCTCTGTCTCTGCCTCTCTGTAACTCTACCTTTCAAATAAACAAATAATTCTTTATATATATATAAAAAAAGAAGCAGTCACTACTGTTGTTCAGACTCTGCACTAAAAAAACCCTAACACAGGACATGGAAAATGGGACACAGAGGAAGGTTTCATTTCATCACATGCCTTTCTCATCTTATTGATGTGGTATGGTGATTCCAGCATCCACCAGCCCGGGAATCCTGGAAGAATTGAAACCAAATACATTTGGCTCAGTGTTAGACCTGTAATTGAATCTGTTCTCGAAAGTGCAAAGATCAGAAAGGAGAGCAGGGGCTGGTGCTGTGGCATAGCAGGTTAAGCCACCCGCTGCAATTCTGGAATCCCATATGGGTACCAGTTCGAGTCCTGGCTGCTCCACTTGTGATCCAGCTCCCTAATAATGCACTGGAAAGCAGAGGAAGATGTCCCAAGTCCTTGGGCCCCTGCACCCACATGAGACACACGGATGAAGCTCCTGGCTCCTGGCTTTAGCTTGACCCAGCTCTGGTCATTGTGGCCAAGTGGGGAGTGAATCAGTGGATGGAAGCGCACTCTCTCTCCCCCTCTCCCTGTAACTCTGCCTTGGAAATAAATAAAAGAAATATTTAAAAAATAAATAGGCAGGATGAAGTCATTCCACAAAAAATAAAAAAGTTCCAGTTCTCATTAAAAAAAAAAAAAGCACCAATTGCCATCATGTATGCACCTGTGCTGTTCAGGTGCCCAGCCTCAGGCTGCTAAACAGAGTTTTGGGGAATTAGAAACTTGCTGGAATTTTTTTTTTCAACTTTTTAAAAAATTTTTATTTATTTACTTGAAAGAGTTACACAGAGAGAGAAGGAGAGGCAGAGAGAGAGAGAGAGAGAGAAAGAGAGGTCTTCCATCCAATGGTTCACTCCCCAAACTACTGGAGCTGTGCCGATCTGAAGCCAGGAGCTTCTTCCAGGTCTCCCATGTGGGTGCAGGGGCCCAAGGACTTGGGCCATCTTCTACTGCTTTCCCAGGCCATAGCGGAGAGCTGGATCAGAAGTGGAGCAGCTGGGTCTTGAATCGGTGCCCATATGGGATGCCGGTGCTTCAGGCCAGGGTGTTAACCCGCTGCGCCACGGCGCTGGCCCCAGAAACTTGCTGGAATTTGAACTGAGCTCCCTGCAGTCATCCACCACTCATTCACTAAACAGACACATTCACTCAGCATCTCCTATGAGCCAGAACTAGCCAAGGCCCCGGGGATACAGACAGGAATGAGATGGGCAGGAGCCCCTTTGAACTGCACTAGCACTCTGCAGCGTAGAAATGACAAGCAGAGATAACCTAAAGGAAGGCTGTTGCCCTAGCAGGGATGGGAACCTTCTTTCAGCCAAGGGCCATCTGGGTACTTAAAACATCATTCACAGGCCATGTAAAATTACCAACTTAAACATTAGCCTGCTACAGATTCATTGCATTTCAAGTCCCCCCTTCAGCTGCCTTGGCAGGGCCAGAGCACATGATTTCCCGGGCCTTACATAGCCCATAGGTTGGACATTGCCTACTGCTGCCCTAGAGAGATGGGGCAGCCACTTTAGACAGTCACCAGCAAGACTTCTACGGCGGTGACATGGGGGATGGGACTTGAAAGCTCATGGAGTTCTGATGACCTTTCACTGCCACTTTCCAGTCTCTGCCAGCCCGACCACACTCCCAGTTTCCTGGGAAGACGGGGCCAACTGAAGTGAGCAGCCTCCACTTGTCGGCTCTGCTGCCCTTTTTTTTTTTTTTTTTTTTTTTTTTTTGAACAGGCAGAGTGGACAATGAGAGAGAGAGACAGAGAGAAAGGTCTTCCTTTGCCGTTGGTTCACCCTCCAATGGCCGCCGCGGCCGGCGCACCGCGCTGATCCGATGGCAGGAGCCAGGTACTTCTCCTGGTCTCCCATGGGGTGCAGGGCCCAAGGACTTGGGCCATCCTCCACTGCCTTCCCGGGCCACAGCAGAGAGCTGGCCTGGAAGAGGGGCAACCGGGACAGAATCCGGCACCCCAACCGGGACTAGAACCCAGTGTGCCGGTGCCGCAAGGCGGAGGATTAGCCTAGTGAGCCGCGGCGCCAGCCTTCTCTGCTTCTTAACACCTCTCTGGGTCTCACCTCACCTTCCCTTCCTTCTGCTCCTGCCTTCGAGGAATAAACAGCACCTTGCCTAAGCTGACCTATATCCATTGTGAAGTCCAGGCTTCTCCAGACCTCCAAGGTCTTGCTCCATTAAGTAGCTTCTCTCGTTTCTATCTTTTGGATCTCTCTCTCTCTTCTATCTTGACCTCTCATTTTGTCTCCCGTCTCTGTTTTTGTCTTTCTCTCTGATACTCTCCCTCCCTCTCTTGAGTTCTTCTTTGTCCACAAACACATCCAAATACCTCCCCATCTCCAAGCAAATGCACTGCACCTCCTGCAATGCACACCAAGGCCCTCCCCATGCACTCGGCTTGCTCCATCCTGCAGGCTGGTTTCCCCCAACATCCCTGAAACAGCTGTCTCCACAGTCACCAGGGACACTTGTCCCACCGCCTGCCAGGCCCAGCCCTCATCCTTCCGGACCCGTGCAGCATTTGAGCAAGAGGACCCCCATCTTTCTCCCCCAACATCTTCAACTGCTGCCGTTCTCCATCAGCCACCGTCCTGGTATTTCTCCTGGTTCCCACTCGACCCCAGCTGGGTCTCCTCCGTGGCGCTGCTCTCTCTCCGTGCAGGATAAGAGAGGGTTCTCTCCCCGGCCTACAAGATCTCATCATCTCTGTTCCACCTGGCCCTGCCCGAAGTTCTGCCTGTAAATTTTGGATCTGGAACTCTCAACAGCCTTCTGGACGTTTCTGCCTGGAGGACCCACAGGAAGCTCAAAATCCACTCCCGACTGAATGACCTTTTCTGCTCCCCCGCAGTTGCCCCCCGCCCCCCGCAGCAGGTCCCACGCAGGTCTTCTCAGCTCTGCCACAGCTCCAGCTGCCCTGGCCACTCACAGCCAGCTGGCCACTCACTCCCCAGTGGCTTTTTTGCACTTGCATTCCTACTGCCCTCACCTGTCGTGAGCCCTCACCTCTTCTCTGTGGACCCCTGAAATGGCCTCTTTTTTTTTTTTTAAGATTTATTTACTTATATGAAAGGCAGAGTTACAGAAAAAGTTGGGGGAGAGAGAAGGGGAAGAAATGTCTTCTGGTTCCCTCCCCAAATGGCTACAATGACTGGGGCAGGGCTGGGCCGGGCCAGGCCAAAGCCAGGTGCCTGGAACTCCATCCAGGTCTCCCACATGGAGAGCAGGGCCTAAGCACTTGGGCCATCTTCCACCAACCATCCCAGGTGCATTAGCCAGGAGTTGAATCAGAGGTGGAGCAGCTGGGACTCCAACCAGCACTCATCTGGGATGCAGGCATTGCAACTGGTGGCTTAACCCACTGCTCTACAAGGCCAGCCCCTCCCTTCTGTCTCGACACCTCCTCCTTGCTCCCTCCACTTTACCCATACTGCCACATGACCCTTGTTAGAGCACACCTCCGCAGGGGTGCTCCCTGCACAAGCACCTGCCACGGACTCCCTGGTGCCTTCCCAACAGCATTGGCCTGGCTCTGCAGGTCTGCTGTGCTGCGGCTCTAACTTACCTTGCCGATCTTCATTCACATCCCACCCAAGCCAGAAGCCTTCTGGTGTCCAGGTACCTGGAGCTGCTTGCTCTGCACTGGGGACATTTTTCTGCCGGCTAGAACCCCACCTGCTCCAGGGCACTTTTGCTGCTCTCTGCACCGGACATGAGCTCACTTCTTCTGAGTTCTTAAATCACATCTGGATCCCTCTCTCTCTAGTGAGCCATCATCTGCTCCAACAGGCAGGCTGTATGTTCCTGGGAAATGGAGGGCTGACACCTGGTGCTGTGGCCAGTGTGGACCTCATATGTAGCCAATAAATATCTGATGAAGGATGGATCAATCAAACTGGTCAAACAGAGCCATGACCTTGGATTAAAAAGTATCTTAGGGTCACAGGAAGAGGAGACATCTCTCCAGTGCTCTGGAGCTGGACAGACCTGATCAGACCCTCCCACCCGGCAGCCCAGCGACCCAGAGACTCAGCCTCCATTTTCTCAAATGCTGCATGAGAATAATGGCACTCCTGAGCCTGCCACAGGAATGCCTGAAGAGTAAATGGTGCATTACAGTAGCATGGCCTAGCCCAGCTCTTGGACTACAAGAGGCCCTGGGAACAGGGAAGGAGTTCCTTGCCTGCGAGAGGAGAATCCCCCTTCGGTCAGGGACCCAGCCCGCCCAGAGGCGCCACCCCTGACCTGTGTCCAGCAGCAGCTTCACCACGGGGAAGTTGGCATGGGACACGCTGTAGTGAAGGGCCGTGTTCCCGTTGCGGTCAGCCAAGTTGACAAGCAGCTTCAGGAGACGTGGGGACAGAGACTGGACCCCGAGGAGGTAGGCGGCCACCACGGCAGGGCTGGACGACTTCCGGCTGGAGACACGGAACCACTCCTGGCTGATGGCATTCAGGCTCTGCCTCTGGAACCCCAAAAGAGTCTGATCCCAACGGGTTCCCCCAGCCAGGGCTCGTTGACCTCCATTAGAGCCTTCAGCTGTGGTTGCTTCCGGCCCTGTCCCTCCCTGCCCTCCAGCTCCCTGTGTGAGGTATTCCCAAGAGGCCTCAGGTTCAACAGGGCTGGGGATGCAGTGACATCCTCTGTAGCGTGCCCCCCCCCCCCCCATACAAGGTAGAAAGGGAGATTGGCAGGGGGACACAATCACCTGTCACACAAGCACTTTCCCGGTGACAGTTTGGCTCTGTTTTACATTTAGGCCACGTCTCTGTAAGCCAAGGATTGCCTAGCACTCTCTCCTTCACACGCACAATCAGCCTACGCGGACCCTACTCGCCCTAGACTCTGCCAGGACCTTGTGTGCTTTTAACGGACACAGCTGGAACATCACAGCATTTTACAAACAAGAAAAATGCACGCTGAGAGCTAAGACCAACAACACATCCCACTGATGCTTGAAATAAAAACCTGAACGGGTGTGCCTGAATAATATTTTCAGAGTGTGAGTATCGTTTAATACTTTGGGCACATTTGCCAGATCAGCCGAGATAAAGCAACGAAAATGGGCTGGGCAAGTAAGAAACACGGCAGAACTGGTCAGCCTTATTCCCGGGGCTCTTGGGCAAAGGGGAGCAGCTTGGGTTGCAAACACGCCCACGGGGCTGTTCCACTTTGGGGCAGCCAGCATCCATCGTAACTTGGGAAAATATCACCGCACCAGTGTCTGTTGATTAAAAGTAGAACCGACGCTTTCCACATTTAAATCTTCATGGAACTACAAAGGCCTGAAGGCGCCAACAAGGGTGTTTTCTTGGTTTTGGTATTCTGACCCATAGGTGCGATCCAAGAAAAACAGGAACAACTACAGAATTCAATTCAGGGCTGGAGAGGACTGGGGACAGGCTGCCCCCCACCCCCAGGTTACCGACAAGGAAACTGAGGCTGTGAACACAGAGCTGACTCACCCCACTTCCCAGTGACGAGGGTCCTGGGAATGGAACTCCCAGTTCCCGTTTCACACGCTCACTCCTCTGCCCCACGGTTCTCTTGAACCATGGGGCTATGTGGAGCTGAAGCCACAGAGTTAGACGACACTCAGGGCGACGCTCAACAACTGGGCACACGCCCCTGAGCCCCCCAGCCTGCTTGTCTGTGCACAGAGGTTGCTTCCACCTCCCCAGCGTCAGGCACCACCGTGGTGGCAGCGCTGGGAGGACTCACAGCGTTCACACTCACACTGCTGCTCAGGCAAGGGCCCAAGGTCACCCCAGGGCGCTACCGGCTGAAGCGCAACACAGGTCTTTACACAGCAGCGAAAACTCCAAGTACCGGGAGTCCGTCGGTGAGGGTCCCAGTCTCTGGCAGGTGTTGGCTCAGGGCCCGACAGGCAATCAGAAATTCTTCTGAGGGTTTATATCTAAAGAAAACAAACATACCCTTATACAACCGTCCTCCATATTGATTTTTATTGCCATTAAAGGCTTTCGCTCTCAATAGCTGGGCAGCAACCCCAGGGCAGGGGAAAGTCGTCAGGATGGCTGCACACACCATCCTGAGCCAGCTCCACTTGGGAGATCTTCCGAAGGGCACGCGGCCCTCCCCCCACCCATGCCGCCAGCGGTCAGAGCCTGCGCACGCAGCACGCAGGGCGGGCCGCTGGCAAGTGGACGGCTGTCTCCTGACGCTGGACGTTCTGCCTGGGTGACCTGAAACCGCCACAGCATCCGAGCCGTACCAGCAAGCTTCTCAGGTTGCTCTTCCATGAAGGGCACCGTGCGCACTCCCAGAGCCAACAGCACGTGAATGACTGGCGCTGGGGGTGGGGCCGCAGTGGCAAGCGCTCCGCCCTTTCTGGGACTTGGGCAGACCCTCTTTCCTCTTTGCGTCGGTGTCAGTTCCCGAGAGGCCCCACCCGCCCCCGCTGGCCTCTCACACTGCCCAGCACTGCAGCCCCACCTGACAAGCAGCTCCCTGCCCTGCTCATCACTCCCCCGGCAACCAGGCTGCATCGGCGACAAGGAGGCTGAAGGCACTGCCTAGTCTTATTCCTGCCACTGAGCGCCAGCAGCCTACTCTGTGGCGGGCACAGCGCTGGGCATTTTGCTTGCTTTTTCTCATATGGTCCCCAGATCCGACCTAGCAGGTGCTTGTTGTCCGTGTGTTACAGATGGGGAAACTGAGGCAACCTCAGCTTACAAGGATCTTGTCTCAAGGAACACCAAGGCAGGGGCAGCATTTGAATCCAGGTGTGCCCGACAGTGCAAGCAGCACTCTTCTCTGGTCTCACTGCATGCTCTCCTGTCATTTATTAAAAAACAGATTTATTTATTTAAAAGGCAGAGTGATAGAAAGAGAGGGAAAGACAGAGAGAGAGATCTTCCATCCACTGGTTCATTCCCCAAATGACCACAATAGCCAGTGCTGGGCCAGGCTGCAGCTAAGAGCCTGGACCTCCATCTGGGTTGCATATATGGATGGAAAGTTCCCAAGCACCTGGGCCATCTTCTGGTGCCTTCCCAGAAGTGTTAGCAGGGAGCTGCATCAGAAACTCAGCAGCCAGGACTTGAACTGGCACTCCAACAGGGGATGCTGGCATTATAGGCAGCAGTTCAATGTGCTACGTCACAATGCCAGCACCCCTCCTGTCACTCTGAAAAACAGTCACGTCAGTATGGCCAACAAAGAGGTAGAAAAGGTTGTGGGTAAGAATCAGAAACAGGGGCCAGTGCTGTGGTGTAGCGGGTAAAGCCACCACCTGCAGTGCCAGCATCCCATATGGGTGCTGGTTCGAGTCCCGGCTGCTCCACTTCCAATCCAGCTCTCTGTTGTGGCCTGGGAAAGCAGAAGAAGATGGCCCAAGTACTTGGGCCCCTGCACCCGTGTGGGAGACCTGAAAGAAGCTCCTGGCTCCTGGCTTCAGATCAGCCCAGCTCTGGCCATTTGGGAGTGAACCAGCAGATGGAAGACCTCTCTCTCTCTCTCTCTCTCTCTCTCTCTCTGCTTCTGCCTCTCTGTGACTCTGCCTTTCAAATAAATAAAATAAATCTTAAAAAAAAAGGAAAAGAATCAGAAAGACTTGGGTCAGAATCCCCACTCCACCAGCCCAGCTGTGTCATTTCGCTGCTGTAGGCCTGGTTCCTCATCTGTAAAGTCCGGGTTCTAATCATTTCTGCCTTGCAGCATTGTTCAATGTTATACAAGGTATCGCTTGAAAATCCCACCCCGGTGGCTTTATACACAGAGCTCTGGCTGTGAAAATCCCACCCCGGTGGCTTTATACGCAGAGCTCTGGCTGTGACGGCACCGTGTAGTCAGCAACTACATCTGTCTAGCTGTGCCTGTCACAGAACACTGGCGAACGCATGGACAAATGAGCAAGCGAAGGAACAAAGGATGGAGCGAGAGGCTGACCACACACCCCGGGCCTTTTCAGATGAACACGTGCCGCTTCCACAGCCAGCTGACTCACCTCTCAGGCTTGGCGTGGGGGGCTTCTTCCCCAGGCCCCCTTTCCTGGCCGGCGTTGCTGGCGTCCTCAGGGACGCCCTGCCCGGGTTCACAGCTAGGGTGGGCATCCCTGGCCCGCCTGTGTTCCGGACCGTCGCGCTTCTTCTCAGCCTCGCCTTCAGACAAGTCCTCCGGGGTGCTGTCCTCATCGCTGGTCTCCTCGCTTGAGGTGGTCTCGTAGCTGTGGAAGGAGACGGGGGGCGCTCGTCCTGTGCCTGCCCACCCAGTGCCCACGGTCGCATCAATGAGGACCACCTGTGAATTACCTCCTCCACCCTCACCACTGCAGGCTGGAGCATGGGAGCCCCGGGGATCTGAGTGGGAGAAGCAGGTGGCCAGGAGCTGTGGCTCTGCCGCTGGACGCCGTTTGGAGAGAAGAGATAATGAGCCGAGCCCTTGTCAGCAAACCGACCCACAGCCTGGGCCCTAAGTGGTCATGTATCCGGACGGTCCAGACAAGCAATCCACGTTTCCCAGAGAAGCCTTTCCTTCTGGAATCCTCCGGTGAGATCCAGAGAGGGCCACAAAACAGGCAACCCCGCCCCACACTGAGTGCACCGAGTTGCCTGAGGAGTCTTCACATCTGTGGGTCACCCTCGCTGCCCCCCTGCTCCAGCCCAGGTAGCGCCTGGCATGAACTCAGGGGCGCCCACGCCCCAACACAGCATCCACCTTTCCTGGCTACGGCCTCTTGGAGCTGCTGCTTGGAGCAGTGAAAGGGCGGGTACAGGCCACGGGGCCCGCAGCCCTCCCTCCCGGCAGTGACACCTGTGTCCAGGGACAAGTGACTCTATAGAAGTGTCACACAGAGGCCATGGAGCAAGGTCTGGGGAGACCTACCGATCCCACCACTGATGTCACCAGGAGACCCCGACAAAGGAGCGCTGGGCTTAAGTTAGAGATTTTGGGCTGTGGAGCCACCAGATAGCCACAGGGACCAGTAGCTATGGCCTCCATGGGCCCCCTGAAAGGCCTTTTCTTGGAACAGTGGCCCTTATGTCCCCCACTTTGCAAATTTACCCACTCCTCACTGTCCAAGCGTTCTGTCTGGTTCAAACCCTGGCTACCTCTTCCTCCCTGGTGCTTGGAACAGCCTTTTGGTTTTGTGATTCTGAGAGTGGACAGCAAATTGCACTTACCAAGCAGTGCTCATCTTAGAATCGCTCCCATAAAAACTTCACCTGGAAATGCAATCATTCATTCAACAGACACTTATTGACCACCTACTGTGTGCCAGGTATTGTTCTAAACACTGCACCCAAGTCCTTGCTCTCCTGGAGCATACAGTGGAGAGAGGCAGGAAATAAACATGGAAACAAATATTATTTTATACTCAGTGATAAGCACAACGAGTGCGAGGAAAAGGGCCATGAGATAGTGTGATGGGAGGAAGGGCTACCTTAATCAGGGCAGATGGTCCTAACCTTGGCTGCACGTGAGCACCCTGGCGACTATCAGAATTTCCAGTACGCAGATGCACCCCACAGTAGTTAAGCCAGAGTCTTCAGGATTGGGACTGAGGCATTGGGATTTTTAAAATCTCCCCCAGTGTTCCCAGCACACAACCACGAGGGAGAAGCACTGTGCTAAAGTAACAGGTCCAGAGAGGCGACGAGGAGAGGCACCTGCACCCCGAATCCCTGAGGGACAGAGGACAGGAGCCAGCAGGAGCAAATGGAGCAGGCCAGAGCCACAGTCGGACCTGCCAGGCTGGGACAGAGTGAGGACAAATGCGGGTGTTTAAGCTGGGAGAGAGGAGCTACGTTTGGCTGATTTCTCCGTACACAAACTGGAGAAAGCTCAAAACAGTTTTGTCTCAATCACAGAGACACACGTTAAGCAGAAGTGGAACCATAGCTCCCCACGACAGCCCATTTCATCACAGCTACCGTCTCCCTCCCGGCGCCTGGGCCGTGGCGGTCACCCCTGGTCTGCAGCTGGTGTGACGCGAGTGAGCAGGGATTCTGAGCAGCGCTGTGCAGCCGCTGCCGGCTGGGCTGGGGGCCTCCTGCGTGGGTGTCCACAGCATCCACGCTTCCCCTGCTTGACAGGCCAGCACCTCCTACTTCCTGTCTTCCCTGTGAGCTATAGGCAGGGCCCATGATTCCCCAGACTCCTTCTCCCCACCACCTAGCACACCGTTGGCATTGAATAAATGTTTGTTGAATGACTGATGTAGAAGACACTCTAAATCCAATGTTCGACTCTCTAAATATTCTAAGGCTTGATCCGTGTTCTAAGTCAACAGACTGGCTGTTTTTCTTCACTCCCCCCTTCCCGTCCCTGCCAAAAACTGAGGTTTGGTTTGCAGTTAAAGGAAGAAAGGAATCAAAAGGATGAAATTTGAGGTTCACTAAATAACAGTTGGTCCTGGTTTTGATGATGTGGCTCAGGTTAAATGCCTACTTCAAAAGGCCCGTGGACCCCTCCAACAGGAACCAGGGCCCTGGGGGGACCACAGCCAAGACATATTAAAAACAGAGGTTGCAACAGACCAGCACAGCTGGCAAGGAGCCAGCCATGCACATGGGGGCGGGAGGGAGCAGCTTTAAAAGGCCACGGAGATTAATTCCCGGGGAGAATGAAAACCAGATGCCTCCCCCTAGGAAAAGAAAAGGCCACGGACAACAGCAGGATGGGCAGCAGGGGAGGCGGTCGGGGCTTCACAAGCGATGCTTACCCACCGTTAACCCCAACAAACTGAAGGTTCTTTTTGGTCCCATTACCTCCTGCACGGAAGCCATAGTCTTTCTTTTTCATAATGGATTTAAGGCTGGTCGACGGGGAGATCTCTAGGTAGATACAACATCACAGGTTAGAATGATCTGGGGGACGCCTAGCACTCTGGCTGGGAGGGGAGATAGGTTGCAGGTGTGTGAAGGGGCCAGGGAACCAGGATAATGCAAATGAAATGCTTGGAGGTTCGGGGGAGGGCTGGCTTTCCGGTCAATGATGTCTGTGTTGATAGTGCCCCTCTATGCCTGGACGACACAGCAGTGGGATTGGGCATTCTCGGAAGACCTGCTAGGTGCCGAGGGAAAGCTGGGGCCCTGCCTTGCTCAATGAGTGGCAGAGTAGGGGAGAGCTTAGGGCCCTGGATGAGTGGTCCCGTGCCCACCTCTGCTCACGGGCGTCTCAGCAGTCCCTCCCAGCTCACATGCAAGTTGACACAGGTGAAATGGGGTAGCGATGGCACTGTGCTCACGGTTGCCATGGGAGCTAGGGCACACATCTTGTGCTGGGCTCAGTCATATGGGAGGCCTCTCACAATGGGCAAGACTAAAACTAGCCCGGAAATGAAGAGAATGCAGCCAACTCAGGGTCTGTGGCTGGAAGCAGACTCACGCTGCCTGTTAAGCAAAGCAAAATATGGTTCCACTTCCCTCAACAGGGAAGAGTGTATGACCTGTTACAAGGGAAGTGGGGCTCAGCCAAAGGGCTGATTTCCATGTGTGAGCATGGCTCAATTTCTCTCTCATACACACATGCTCACACAGAAAGAATAGTCAGTGAACTGCTGCAGACCACAGTATAGATCAGGGTACCTCAAAGAGTTCATGGAGAAATGGAATTGAAAGAGAAGTTTATTTTGGCACAATTTTTTTTTGAAATCCATGCATAGCTTTTTGATAATAGGCATTTTCCATGAACTTTTAAAAGACTCCTCTTATTGTTCCTCCAAAACCAGGGTAGAGAACACTTGTAATGTGTGAGAACCCGGAGGAACCAAAGGAATAAAAGCATCTAAGAAACAATGAAGGGAAGGCCGGCGCCGCGGCTCACTAGGCTAATCCTCCGCCTTGCGGCGCCGGCACACCGGGTTCTAGTCCCCGTCGGGGCGCCGGATTCTGTCCCGGTTGCCCCTCTTCCAGGCCAGCTCTCTGCTGTGGCCAGGGAGTGCAGTGGAGGATGGCCCAGGTGCTTGGGCCCTGCACCCCATGGGAGACCAGGAAAAGCACCTGGCTCCTGCCATCGGATCAGCGCGGTGCACCGGCCGCAGCGCGCCGGCCATGGCGGCCATTGGAGGGTGAACCAACGGCAAAGGAAGACCTTTCTCTCTGTCTCTCTCTCACTATCCACTCTGCCTGTCAAAAAAAATAAAAATAAAAATAAAAAAAAACAATGAAGGGAGACGAGGATTTGGAGTTCACCAGGCTGGGGCATTGGTGCCCTAGACTTTGCCTTTGTGCGATGCAAGTGAGATTAGGCCTTTCTGGGTGGATGTAGTGCTGTAGGCACGAGGCTTGGAAATGGCATGTGGGCTGGTTTCCTACTCCTTTTTGTCCTCCCTGGCTGGCATTTGCACTGTACACACAGCTGCATGTAGGTATGCAGTTTTATATACAACTGCATGTGTGTATGCACTGTATGTGCAACTGCACATATGCACCATACAACCACATGCATACATGTGCTGCACATACAACCACACACATGCATGTGCCTCATGTACAACTGCACATCCGTGTGCACCTTCTATACAACTGCGTGTATGTGTGCACTGTATAGACAAGTACATGCATATATACACAAAACTGCATGTTTGTATGCACTAAATGTACACCCACATGTGTGTATGCACTATATATGTGACTGCATGTATGTATGCGCTTCATGTACAGCTGTGTGTATGTACACACTGCAACACACCTACATGCATGCACTATATGTACAACAGCACGTATGTATGAACTATGTACACAATGGCATGCATGTGTGCGTTGCATGTACAGCTGCACGTGCTGACCGGACTCAGAGCACAGGCATGAGCAGTACTGAGCCTCTGCTGTTGCACCGATCAGTTCTGGAGGTGCTGCATCATTTTTTAAAGGCATACTCATGCCATTAAAACTGTTCCCTGCTCGGAGTCGCGGGGTGAGGGAGGAATGGGTCCCTGTCTCGGGCATCTGTATTTACCCACTGGCGGGGAGGAGGGAGCAGGGGGCTCCTTCTGCGCTGGCGCCTGGGCCGAGTAGGCAGAGAGCAGCAGGTTGAGGGAGCTCAGCAGCTGGCTCTGGATGCTGCTGAGCTTGGAGGCCGGCTGCTTGATGGCACTGGCCAGCTCCGGGTACCCGTGCTCCAGGCAGTTCCACTGCTCCTGCAGCAGTTCCTGGATTTTCTTCACATATTGCCCAATCGTGGCATCGGTTGGCGAACTTGGTGGTCTTCCTGGGCGCTCCTTGCCTGGGAGCTCAGAACTGGTTTCCTCTCTTCCTGCTGGGGGAGCTTCTCCATCGCTGCTCCATGAAGAGCCTCTTGCTCCCTCGGCCAGGCCCTCAGCTCCTCCCCGAGGGTCTCCTTCCTGCTCAGAGCCTGCTTCTTCGATCCTGAGTTCGGTGGAGAGGCAGCTGTGTAAAGGGGAGGTGAGGACCCTCTTGGGTCCCTGTGGCAGTGACAGCTGGGGTGGTGGCACACGCTCTGCAAGTCCTTGTGAGTGACTGTCTTGCCCCCATGGGAGGCCATTCTCCTCCCCTCTGACCCCCCAGCTTTCAGAGTCCATGATGCCCACCAGGTTGACCCCAATGCTCTTGTCGCATGACTCCCTGGCCACCAGTCCATGGAGAGGGTCAGTGTTCACCGTGGCATCAGTCTGGCCCTCGGCCTCTCTGGTGCTCCCTTGGCTAAGCTTTCCTTCCAGTTGGGCTACAGCACACTCTAGCTCTTGAATCCTCTGCTCCCTAGCCTTGGTTTCCTCTTCCTGCTGCTGCAGGGCAGCTCTGACTTGAGCCAGTTCTTTGGTTCTTCCAGACAACTCACCCTCAAGGGCCGAGAGCTGCTGCTTCAGGCTGGAAATGCTGCCAGGATCCATCCCGGCCAGACCCAGGCTTTCCTCCGTTACCCGAATGCCAATGCTTCGCACCTCCACCTCTACAGGTGGCGGGGGCGGGATCTCGCTGATATTGAGCTCAATTTCTTCTAGGGGCAGCTCACTTTCAGGGATGGGTGATGGCAGAGGTGGAGGGCTTGGTGTCAGGGAGCTGGGGGTGAACACCGTGTCGGCGTCTCTGGTTTTGTCTTCTGCATCCTCCAGAACCACAAGCGCCACTGGGAACGAGGAAGGAGGACTTGGGAGAGGGAGGTGACTGACAGCCTTCATTTCACCTTCAGGAGGCTCGGCTGCCTCCAGGACCAGCTCCGAAATCCCCGGCCCCAGGTCTCCCAACTCTCTGACTTTCACTTGGGTTGACGCTCCTGGGCTGGAGCTGTGTACAGCTGCAAACCCTTCCACGGGGCCCAATGTGCCATCGCAGACACTGCCTTCACCTGGCGGTGGAGGGAAGGCAGGAGGGATGGGGGGCGCTGAGCTCAGGCTCAACTCCTCCGGGGCCCTGCTTTGCAGCAGCGTGGCCGGCATGCTGGACGCTCTCAGGAGGTGGGGTCGTGCACCCCCAGGGGCGAGCTCGGCGTTCTCGGGAGCAGCAGCCTCCAGCTGCCTGGCGGCCTCTGCCAGCAGCGCCTTCCTATGGTAGCTCAGCTCACTGCTGCTGGCTGAGGCCTGCGGGGGATCACCCAGGGGCAGTGACTGCGTTTGCTCCCGAGTCCCCAGCAGTGCCTTCCTTGATACCCCTGGGGACCAGTTTTGGTGGGGAAGAGCTACGTGGGGGCGGGCCCCGCTGTCTGGAAGGCTGAAGTTTCGGGGCAGAGTGCTGAACTTGGCCTGCTTGGCCCTTCTGTGGATAGGAATCCTCTTGATGGTGTTTCCCTTCTCAATGTCATCCACATACTTGAGGAAGTCCAGGTCTAAGTGAAAGCCATATGGGGTCTCCACGGAGTAAGGATGGCTCTTTGGAGGGTCTTTCTTTTCATTCCCCGGAAAGGACTGGTCTTTGGCTGGGAACACAACACATTAAAAAAAAAAAAAAAAGGCACAAAGTTAGTAAGAATCACAGAATAAAGAGGCCAAATGGCCACACACGATATGCTCCTCAATGTTCTGGCCTCTAAATCACACTGAGACGCTCAGTCTTTGGGGCTGTACTGGAACATCATCTTATTTTTTAAAAAAAGATTTTATTTATTTATTTGAGAGCTAGAGTTACAGACCGTGAGAGGGAGAGAAGAGAGAAAGGTCTTCTTTCCATTGGTGCACTCCCCAAATGGCCGCAATGGCTGGAGCTACGCCGATCCGAAGCCAGGAGCCAGGAGCTTCTTCCAAGTCTCCCACGCAGGTGCAGGGGCTCAAGGACTTGGGCCATCTTCCACTGCTTTCCCAGGCCATAGCAGAGAGCTGGACTGGAAGAGGAGCAGCCGGGACTAGAACCGGCGCCCATATGGGATGTCTGTGCCACAGGCAGGCAGAGGATTAACCTACTGCACCACAGCGCCAGCCTCTGGAACATCTTATTAAATGAGTGTATACTTAGCCAGAGTCCACGAGGAAACAGGTGGAGGGAATGGTTTCTAATTTGCAGTATGTCATCTCCGTTGCTAATGTGGAATCTGCCTGCAGACCAGCAAAACAAAACTGTTGAATGCTGCTTTCCTGGGTCTGAGTGATGTAGTGGCAGAACTGAGGTGGCAGGAATTTGCTAAATCAGGGCACTAATAGGCAACTATAGATAGGACAGATTTTCGGGGATGAGATACAGCTGTCTCAGCATTAAAGAAAAAACTTGCATTACTCTAATAGGTACTAGGAAATCTCGCGAAAGGCAGAGGTATCAATGAGTTACGGCTTCAGGGCCAGTGTTGTGACACAGCAGGTTAAGCTTCCTCCTGTGATGATGGTATCCCACATGAACACTGCTTCGAGTCCTTGCTGCTCTACTTCTGATCCAGCTCCCTGTTAATGCGCCTGGGTAAACAGTAGAAGGTGGCCCAAGTGCTTGAGTCCCTGGCACCCACGTGGAAGATCTGGATGGAGTTCCAGGCTCCTGGCTTCAGCCTGGCCCAGGCCTGGCTGGTGTGGCCGTTTGGGGAAGGAAGCAGCAGGTGGAAGATCTCTGTCTCTCCCTCTCTCTCTGCCTTTCAAATAAATAAATCTTTTTTAAAAATATGAGCTATGCCTTCTACATTATGGAGGCTTCCTCAGACGCCCGAGCCTGCAGGTACACAAAGGTTAGAAAGAACTGGAACACAGACTAATGTGCAGCCAATGCTCTTCTCCACCTGAACGTTGCTTCGTGCTTAGCAAACATGAATTCCGCTTTCAAAGACCCATGCCAAGGAAGGAAATACCACGTTTGTCACAGAAGGGGAAAAGTAGTGAGGGCAAAGGGCCAATGAATGTCAAAAGGGACACCAAGAGGTGTGGCTCTCATGGCTTTTCAAGGTGGCCCAAACTCTGGGGAGGAGCCAGCTCCCCATTGCTCCAGGGCCCCACCCTCACGGTGTCCACCACCGACTACACAGAGCACACAGGGGGCAAGCTGCTCCTGGGACCATTTGAATCCACGGGGACTGGTCTCCCAGCCACTCTTCTTCAGGTGCGACAGCCCCAATCACACGTGCCATTCTACTGAATGTGCTGTGAACATGCTGGGCTCAGCAGAGAAACAGAGGTTAAGAATACAGATTCTGGAGTTTGGTCTACATCTCTGTTCTGTGACCTTGGGGAAACCACCTAGCTGCTCTGTGTCTGCTCACCAATAATGTGGAAATAATAACAGAAACAAGAATATTGTGAGGCTCCGTTAAGTACAAAGTGCTTGGAGCAATACTTAGCACAAAGCAAACATTCAGGACAAACTCCATTTCCCAGTCAGTATAGAGACATGAAAGACCATAATGGAAACCAACTTCAGTGACTCATGGCTGCATACACAGGCGGGGTTCACAAATCCTCTGTGACTGATCACAATTAAAAAATATATAATGACAATGTTACAATCACAATTATAAACTAGCAGCAGTTGAATCCACTGGCCGCAACCATGGCTTATGAAGTACCCATGTGTCATTAGCTAAGCCAGAGCCTAAAGACACGAAGAACAATCAGGTAGAGCCCTGCTCCCCAAGAAGAGGCACGGCCAAGCCAGAGTCCAGACACACACCATGGTAAGGAAAGCAACAGACACACTTGCAAGGCACAGTCTTCTTATTTTTCCAGTTTTTCAGAATTAATTCTTGGATTTGGAGGCAAATTTTGCCTCGGTAGGAGAGGGATGACTTCACCAAAGTGACACACAACCGGTGTTAAATGAACAAAAGGATTTTTTTTAGGAGAACAAGACAATGAAAGGCATTGTGGCACTCTGTCTCCAGGCTGGCCGCCATCAGTCTCTAACCCGTCAGACAAGCAAGCTAGTCCTACACTGAGTGGTAGGTTTCATTTCCCCACTCCTTTGAATCCTGGCTGGCCTTTGACTGCTGTGATATAAGAATATGGCAGAAATGATGTGGAGAGAATTCTGATGCTAAGGTGAGAAGCATTGTAGCATCCACGTGGGTGTCTTAGAACGAGAATGCACAGGGTCTGGTGCTGTGGCATAGGGGGTTAAGCCGCAGCCTGCAGCGCCAGCATCCCGTATGTGCACCAGTTTGAGACTCAGCTGCTCCACTTCCAATCCAGCTTCCTGCTAAGGGCCTAGGAAAGCAGTGAAAGAGGCCCAGGTGCTTGGGCCCCTGCATCCATGTGGAAACCCAGAAGAAGCTCCTGGTTCCTGGCGTCAGGCTGGCCCAGCCATTTGGGGAGTGAACCAGCGGATGGAAGACCTCTCTCTCTGCGTCTGCCTCTGCCTCTCTGTAACTCTGCCTTTCAAATAAATAAATCTTTTTTAAAAAAGAAAAAGAACAAAAGGCCCAAATGATGAAACTGCCTAGGGCACATTTGAGGCTGCCCCCCACCCGACCCCCAGGCTGCTGACAGACTAGGGCTGCGTTCCTCCCACCTCGCCTGCCTGATGTCTCCTTCTGCTCTCTTCTAATGATGCTTGCCACGTGGCTCTCTGTGCTCTGGAAGTGCAGTTATCACCGAATAACGAAATGAAACCAAGCAGACACATCCAGGCTGAACCCAAGGTCGTGGAGACACTGAGGCCAGCAGCCCTCCCTGCCGAGTACAGCTGGCAGGCTGAAGAGCTCTTAGCCAGGGCAGCTCCGTCACAGTCACAGGCAGGGAGAGGGTGGGCGCTGGTGCTGACCCATGGATGGCCCCCAGTGAGCTCCAGAGCTTCTGTGGCAGGTACCTGGGCTGCAGGTGGATACGGACTAAGTGTTCCTCCAGCACCAGCAAAACTCCAAACAAGTGCCCATTAATGCCCAAAGAAGCACACCAGCAGCTTCAATATGAGAGCAGTGTCTTTTATCGCCCTTTCCAAGTTGTATTTTGCTGTTCTCTCCCATGGTCTGGTCCCCCAGCAGCCTCTCGGATTATTAGGACAGGGCCAATCAGAGAGGAGAGGTTCATCTACGGCTAAGCTGAGAGCAGACTGATGACCCAGAAGGCCAAGGAGGCTCCTGAAGACAGACTGCATCATTTACCTGCTTATCACCTCTATGCAAAAGATGTGCACAGATGCACCAGTGGCCCCGGGACCAGGTCCAGAGCACACACAAGAAGGAAATCCCAGATTCAGAGGTGAAATCTTCCACAAGGGAGAGAAGGGGGAGTGAGCTGAGCAGCCAACCAGGGTGGCAAGTTTAGTGAGTGCGTTCCTAAGCTAGCCCTATGGGCTCTCTCTCCCTCTCTTTCTCTATCTCTCAATATTTATTTATTTATTTGAGAGGCAGAGTTACAGAGAGAGAGGGAGAGATAGAGAGAGAAAAGATTCATTCCCCAAATGGCCACAATGGCCGGAGCTGGGCCTATCTGGAGCCAGCAGCCAGGAGCCATGTGAGTGCAGGGACCCAAGTACTTGGGCCATCTTCCGCTGCTGTCCCAGGCCATAGCAGAGAGCTGGGTCAGAAGAGGGGCAGCCGGGACATAAACTGGTACCCATATGGGATGCTGGTGATGCAAGCAGAGGCTTAACCTCTAAGCCACAGTGCCAGCCTCTCTCTCTCTCTCTCTCTCTCTCTCTCTCTCTCTCTCTCATGCACACACACACTCTCTTTCTTTCTCTCACACACAGCACACAGTAATCCATCATAGAGCCCTGCCTGCTACCTGTCACTCCTCGTTCCTTCTCTTTCTCCCTGTGCACAGGACAGTGCAGGACCTGGCAGTGAGCTTGAGCTGATATCCAGGGATGCCCACGATCACCTGCTAATTCTACCTGGTGACAGGCAGGCAGGAGCTCAGAATTCCGGGCTCTGGGCCAGGGCAAGAATTAATTAAGAGGACTGTCTGCTCAAAATGATGGTCGAAATCAGATGAACCAACACACGGCCAAGCTGGCGGGATTTGAATCCCGGCTGCCGTCTCCTGCCTGTGGGATTCTGGGGAAACGACTTCCTTTCCCTGGGCCTCCATTTCTCCACCTGTAAAGGGAGGCACTGTTGTCTGGCTTGCGGCGCTGCCTGATTGATTATTAGAGCGCACGGCACAGAGCAGGGGCTGCCCAAAGGCACACAGAGGCAGGATGGGCAGGTTCTGAGTGGAACAGGGGCGGATTCTCGGAGAGCTCTCCGTGGAACACGGAGCTCTGTGTGTGACGAATCAGTCTTGAGGGGAAGGCGAGTAAGAAGATGAGTCAGGAGAAAAGGGAAGGTAAGACTCAAGAGGTTCAGGGGGGCGGCGGCATTGCGGCACAGTGGTCTAAGCTGTTACACCACCTGCAACACTGGCTTCCGAAATTGGGATCCCTGCTGCCCCACTTCTGATCCAGCTCCCTGCTAATGCACCTGGGAAGGCAATGGAAGATGGCCCAAGTGCTTGAGCCCCTGCACCCATGTGGGAGACCAGATGGAGTTCCTGGCTCCTGGCTTCACTTGGGCTGCAGCCATTTAGGGAGTGAACCAGTGGATGGAAGAACCCATTTTCTCTGTTCCTCCCTCTCTCTGCCACTCTGCCTTTCAAATAAATAAAAAATAAAAATACATTTGTAAAAAAAGAGGCTCTGAGCTCCCTGGAAGTGCCTGCAGAGTTTTGCTGTGAAAATATAGCAGCTCCCTGCGTCATTGTAAATGATGTGGAGACACGGCCATCGGCCTGGGAGTCACACACAGGCAGGAGGGAGGAGGATGGGAGGGGTGAGGTCAGGAGGGAGTGCCAAGTGCGTGAATGGCACTCCAGTGCCAGTGAGCAGCAGGTGCGTGAGCTCACCAGGAGACCCTAAGTAAGAAAAGTCCCAAGGCCTAACTTCAGTTTCAGAGGAAACGGGAAAAACAGAAACTAGAGAGAAAGCAGCCAAAAATATAGCTGGCCAGAAGGGGACTTAAACGAGCTTTTTTCAAAAGGTGGAGACAGCCTAGGAGCTTTCCCCCTCCTTGTCCTGGGAGACACCTGTGCCTGAAGGGAGGGGACTGTCCTGAGCCAGCTGTGGACAGTCCCATGGGGGAGGGGGAGGAGCAGAGGTTGCAGGCCCAGCCAGGTGGCCAGATGACAGGCTCCAGGGCACTGGGGAATTGGCTGGTGTCCCGTGGGACCACTTCCAGGGACACACTGTGAAGGCGGCTCTCTGCGGAGAAGGTCAGACTTTTGGAACACATGGTCACTGCATTTGGAGAAAAGGAGGAGAGGCGGGGTTGGAGCGGGTGTCTTTCCCCTGTATCCTGTGTTAAAGGATGGGCCCTGTGATTCAAGGGGGATTAGGGGCTCCTCCGCTGACACTGGGTTGTGGGTCAACAGCAAATGCGTCACATGCAAACTGGTGAACAATGCCTAAACATTTCGGTTTGTGTGTTCTCATGCTTGAACCCTTGTACCATCGCATGGACAAGCCCAAGTTGGCCTCCTACATTAGAGACACGTGGCCAAGTCATCACCCATGCCCCAGGTGACAACAGGTCCACCATCAAGCTTGTGAGTATGGCCATTCTAAGCCACTCGGCCCCAGCCAAGTCACCCAGAGGACCACGGACACCTGAATGAGCGCAGGAAAGATCAGCCCAGCCAGCCCAGTCCAGATTAGAGGCCCTGGCAAGCTACAGAATCCGGAGAAAGAATGTCTTTAAGTCGCTAAATTTTCGAGTGGCTTGTTGCACAGCAAAGCTAACTGGTACATGAGGGGCCTGGGGCTCCGAGACAGTAAATGACTCGATTGGAGGCTCTCTCGCCACGTAGCATGCCTCTGTCCTTGGCCTCAGGTTCTACATCTATAAAACAAGAGTAGGGAGACGGAGCACACTGTTCCTTCTTGGTGCTCGGATGAGATGAGAAAATGCTCCAAATATTACACAAGTCCACCCTCCCACACTTTGTAAGGCTTCCTTACATCTACATCAGGGCTAGGGAAACTTTTTTTTTGCCAAGTGCCATTTGGATATTTACAACATTATTCACGGGATTGATATTTATCAGCTATCAAATTCAAAATTATCAACTTAAAAATTGGCCTGCTAGAGATTTATTGGACTTTAAGTCCCGCCTGAGCTTGCTTTGGCAAGGCCACACCAAATGATTTTGCAGGTCTTCTGTGGCCCGTGGGCCGCAAGTTCTGCCACTGCTGCTCTGTACATGGCGTGGGCCTCCCAGCACTGCCTGCCTGGCCTCTCGGAGGCTGTTTCCAGGGTTACGGCGACAACCCCTTCGCAGTCCACAGGGTCCCTGTCAGCCTGGGAACAGGAAGCAGCCCGCCTACCGTCTGTCTTCTCCATTTTCGGCAGTGTCACCCTCAGCCTCTCAGGCACTCTTCCTCCAGCTGAGGACTCTGAAAGAAAGGACAGAGGGGTCGAGTCTCGTTAACACTAGAATAAGAGAGCTGAGCAAGCACAGCACCCGAGAAAGTAACTCCCATCCCTGCTTTTCCCGGAGCTCCCGGCCCTCCAGGAGGGAGGCTCAAACCTGGGCGCACGCCTGGAGCCCGATTCTGGTGTGTCCTGTGGAATGCTGGCAACCGCTGGCCACAAAGGAAGCATTTGGTCCAACCCCTCTCACTAGGCAGAAGAGGCAACTGAGGCTGACATTCGCTGCTCTAAGATCTCACATGATTAAGATCTAAGATCTCACATGATTAAGATTTAAGATCAGTGTATTAGTGCGGAGCTGGAACCAGCACATTGGCCTTTCCATAATCTCAAGAGTTGCAATCTATCTGTCCTTGTCCTTCTATTCCACTGGATGAGAAAGCTGGAGTCAGAGAGCCTACAACTGTGTCATCCACGTAAGAGCTGTGACATCCACGTCAAATACAAGACAAAGACGGACAATCTGCTCCCGATGAGCAGCCGTTACCTGGAGGTGACTTCTAGCCACGGGTAGTATGAGTTCAACCCAGGTGGCCAGAACACATCAGAAACTATTTTTTAAAATTTATTTGAAAGGTATAGTTACAGAGAGAGAAGGAGAAACAGAGGGAAAGAGAGAGAGAGAGAGAGGGAAAGAGATCTTCCATCTGCTGGTTCACTCCTCAAATGGCCACAATAGCCAGGGCTGTACCAGCCTGAAGCCAGGAGCCAGGAGCTTCTTCCAGGTCTCCCACGTGGGTGCAGGGGTCCAAGGACTTGGGCCATCTTCTACTGCTTTCCTAGGCACAGTAGCAGGGAGTGGGATCGGAAGTGGAGCAGCCGGGTCTCCATTTGGCATCCACAATGCTGGCTCCTATCAGAACTATGGTCCTGACTCTCAATTAGTGTACCTTACGATGTGCGACCACACAGTCTCCCCAAAGTTTTAATCCAGTCCCAAGATTCTTCCTTCAAATGGTGCACAACCCAGCTCCTGCCCCCACTACAATCAGTCATCCAGGAAATCGGCTTTTTATGATCGTAACTCCACATACATCAGCATAATGAGATACACGTGTGATGCCACGGCAGCAGTGGGGTTACTTTAGGGATCCCGACACACTTGACAATGAACTCCAGACAGAAAAGTGGACCAGTGATGAGGAAAGGACTGGGGCAAACAGGATGAGAGAGAAGGATGAGGAGTGATCCCCCCACCCCCCAATGCCACCCTGGCAACCAAGGAGGGGGAAAAGGAGACGGGACAAGTCACAGAAGAGAGCTGAGAAAACCAGGCCTGCAAGTGAGAGGGGAATTCTGAAGTCGGCCCACAGGGAGTTTAATACGACTTCTTTCTGTGCGTGCTGCTTGTGCGCCAAGGTCACTGCCCTGGCTCCTGCCCTGGCTCCTCCAAACCCTTCTCCACGCAGCTACCACAGCAGCCCGCCCTCTGCGGTCAGATGGAGTGCAAAGGACAGGCAGGTTTTCTGGAAGCAGAGACACTCTGCAGAAGGAATGCCAACACCAAGTCCCGCAGAGCAAGTCCCTGACCCGCAAACAAAAACTCATGGAAAACGGCATGAAAGGATTTATTTTGGTGCAAAAACATTTTGAAATCCATGCATAATCATTTCATAATACGCATTTGCCATGAGCTCCCTGAAGACTCTTGTCCTGGAGTTTAGTTTGGTGGAAGAGAGAAGCGAGGGATAAAGCAGGCTCTTGCAGCTGAGTGTGGCTGTAAAGTGGGTGGGCGGTGGAGAGGAGAGGGAGGGCCAGTTGCCTCTGCCCTTCTTTATAGAGAGCGGGCTCTCGGGCGGAGGACACTTTACCCCTCTCCACACCTGGGCCTGCAGTCTGCAGTGAGCGCTGCTGGCAGGCAGGAGAGGCTCAAGTGATGCCTGGGGAGGGAAGGGGGGGTGGGGGAAAACCCCAGGCCCCCTCTCCAGCACCGCAGCCCTCTCTTGTTCTTGGTCACTTGATGTACGCTAATTATCTCAAGCAGTCCTCATCATAACTCAGAAAGGATTCTTTAAAATTAATTTTTTAAAGATTTCATTTGTTATTTGAAAGGCAGAGTTACAGAGAGAGGAAGAGAGATAGAGAGAGGGGCTGGCGCCGCGGCTCACTAGGCTAATCCTCCGCCTTGCGGCGCTGGCACACCGGGTTCTAGTCCCGGTCGGGGCGCCGGATTCTGTCTCGGTTGCCCCTCTTCCAGGCCAGCTCTCTGCTGTGGCCCGGGAGTGCAGTGGAGGATGGCCCAAGTGCTTGGGTCCTGCACCCCATGGGAGACCAGGAGAAGCACCTGGCTCCTGCCATCGGATCAGCGCGGTGCGCCAGCCGCAGCGGCCATTGGAGGGTGACCCAACGGCAAAGGAAGACCTTTCTCTCTGTCTCTCTCTCTCTCACGGTCCACTCTGCCTGTCAAAAAAAAAAAAAAAAAAAAAAAAAAAAAAAAAGAGAGAGAGAGAGCGCGCGCGAGAGAGGAAGAAAGAGAGAGAGAGGCCTCAAAGGGTCGAAAGGGTGCAGGGCTAGGCTGAAGCCAGGATCCAGGAGCTCCACCTGGATCTTTAGGTCTCCCATGTGGTATAGGGGTGCAAGCACTTGGGCCATCTTCCACTGCTTTCCCAGGTGCATTAGCAGGGGGCTGGATTGGAAGTGGAGCAGCCAGGACTGAAACGGTGCCCACGTGGAATGCCAGCATTGCAGGCGGTGACTTAACCCACTATGCCACAATGCTGGCCCCAGAGAAAAGATTACTTCTCTCATTTTTCAGAGAGGGAAACTGAGGCTGAGAGAGTTGAAAGGCCCACTGAAGGGCACATAACAAGCAAGTTCTGGGGCAGGATTTGTCCTCAAGGTTGGCCAACTCCAAGCCTGCAGTGGGAACAGATGTGATTTGTAATCGTCTGGCCACCTTGTAAGCCAGCCCTGGCCACCGAGGCCACGGCTGATCCCTAGTTCTCCATAAGCGGGGACAGAGGCTCCCCTGCTTCTCCCACACTGGCCACCAAGCAGCCGGGCCCCTGCTGAGGCAGTGGGGCCACCTGGGTGCAGCTGGACCACTGGCCGCACACACTCCCATCCTCACCAGGAAGTCCCTCACGTTCCATCAGAACGAGGAATTCTGCACACTGTGTATCTCACCCTACGGCCTCAGGCAGTCACCAGCACACATTAGGTCAGTTTCCTAAAGAACGACATAGGAACCCCTAAGGTTTCTCTATGACTTGAATTTTATTAGAATGAATGATTTCAAGGCTACAGAAATCAAATGGAGCTGAGAAAGGGGCTCAGCCAACTTTTCCTCTAAAGGAGAAAGGAAGGAACGGCCATGTCTAGCTCCCACCGTTGCCACCGCCCCAGCCTCCCACCATAATCCACGGTCCTTGGGGCAGATGTCGTGGGAGTTTAGCTCAGGGGGCTTCTCTTGGGAGGCGGATGGTTGACGTGGAGAGGTGAGTGGAAAGGAGGAGCAAAGCCACTCTGCGATAGCACAGAATTCTCTTTGGAAGAGGAATTTTGCAACCCTCTGGAGTATTTAAAGCTTTGACATAAAGCAATTTATCACTCATTCTGTTAAGCTGTATCCCTCAGGATTCAGTACCTTTTTTAAAAAAAATATTTTATTTATTTGAAAGGCAAAGTTACAGAAAGAGGAGAGGCAGAGAGAAACAGAGAGATCTTCCATCTGCTGCTTCACTCCCCAAATGGCCACAATGGCCAGAGCTAGTCTAAGTCAAGCCAGGAGCTCCACCCAGGTCTCCCACGTGGGTGGCAGGGGACCAAGTACTTGTACATCTTCTGTTGCTTTCCCAGGTGCATTAACAGGGAGCTGGACTGGAAGTGAAGCAGCCGGGACTTGAACTCATATGGGATGCCGGTGGCTGCAGGCAGTGGCTTAACCCGCTGTGCTACAATGCCAACCCGGGTCAGCCTCTTTTATTGCCTGATGTTGTTCTGCAACTTTTCATTTGTGTATGTCCTAGCCCAAGGATCCCCAGTTGAGGCCCAACCTTCCTCATTAGCTCATCATATTGCAGATGTTCTGAGGGTAGACAGCATTCTCTCTCTGTCTCTGCCTCTCTTCTCACCTACTAGTACGCATGTGAAGGCCAGAATTTTTGCAAGACTCATTCCCATGTCACCCCCAAGTCCCGATGTCTAACATGAGGCAGATACTTATTTCCCAGTTCTGAAACGAACAACAAAAAAGGAGAGCAAAATAACCTGTCTTCAAATGGAAACCATGACGACAAAAACTAGCAGGAGCTAAGCAGTTACACTGGGAGTCAGGTCATGGATATAATTCCTCCCTTCACCTCCCAGAAACAACCCTGGCAAATGGGTGTCATGTCCAAGTGACAGATGAGGACGCAAAAGCACAGAGAGGCTAAGTGGCCAACCTAAAGTTTCTCAGTGACTTAGGGGCAGGATGGCTTATGCGACTCCATCATTCCACAGAACCTTTCAAAGCCAACTGGGTAGTGCAGAGATGGGGATGGCCGCGACGGTCCGTGGGCAAGTAGCAGGCTGTGTTAGAAAGGAGCCAGCAGGGTGCACCCTGGGTGCCCAAGAGCAAGGCCTTCTTCCTGGTCAGCCCAACTTCTGCAGCATTACCCACAGCGCCCCCTCGACCCTTACTGCTTTCATGATGCCACCCTCAACCTCATTTCTAACCTCAAATCCAATCGTAAAGAAATGCTCCCTTATTTTGTCCTGAAACTGAAACCTGGTTCCACACTTTTGTTCTCTTCAAACATTTCTCTAGTCTGCAATTACCAAAATGCTGTGTTTCATCCCAGCACAGGCTACATGCCAAAATAAATAGCACCTTGGATTTCCTTGAAAAGAAAGCTCAGCTCAAAGCCCTGCCTCACTGCCATGAGAATTCTTGGAGAATTCAACCTTACGAAGTCAAATATTTCACAAGGTAGTGCACCAAACAGGAACCCTGCCAATGCCTGCACGGTCACTTGCAAAGACAAAGCTCTTTCCAAAAGGGAAAACAAATCACCCAGACCCTGGACGGATCCTGCCCAGCAGGGACAGCTGCCCCATCCCAGAACCTCAAGCCTCCGAGTGGAAAGGGTACCTGCGCTAAGCAGCAGGAGGCATCTGACAGCCACTGCTTAGCACTCCTGCACAGGATTCCACCAGCCCAGTTGTCCGGTCGGCTCTCTGCTGACCCAGGAAACAAGACTCAACAAGCAACACGGCCACGCAATCTCATCAACCCCATGCCCGCATTTTTCTGCAAGTGCCTGTCTTTTTTTTTTTTTTTTGCCTGCATTGCAGCAGCTGGCTCTGGGGCTTCTCAAGGAAAGCTCTGCTCACATTACCTCCTTTTGCATCCTCTCCTGCAGAGCCTGGAACCAGAAGCTGGAACGGCTTCCGAGTCTCCTTCCCAGAAAGCCAGGTCGGGGGCTGCAGGACGAGCGCTGATTGTGCACAATGAGTTCAGCACAGCCCCGTCTGCTTCCCAGCTGTTAGAGGACTGGGTCAGGTGATCCGTGACCTTGCTGGAAAAGCAAACACTGACTTCCTTTTTGCTCCCGGGAATAGGTGAGTGGGGGTCCAAAAGGAATGCACCACTCAATAAGCGCAGACTGGAGCTTGCAAAAAGAGGAAGCACGGTCAAATTCCTTCTGCTGTAAAGTTAGTTCCCGGAGCTGCCATCACTTCGCAGCGACGTACGGAAAACACACCCAAACAGCACTCAACCCCCCTGACTCCAAATCTGGGAGCCGCGCTGGGCAGCTGTCCTTCATCACGTTTCTCCACCCTGCAGCTGACGTGGCTCGTGAATAAAACTGCTGCTAATGAGGACGCAGCCTCCTTAGGAGTTGAACGCTTCAGGGGTGCGCTGCTTTCTTCCCGCCTCTGCTTTAGAGACTTCCTCCTGCAGTCCCGGGACCCAGAGCTTCTGATCACTGAGTGAATGGGAGTCCGTCCGGGCAGGGCAGGGCCAGAAACAATAACCAGTGAATACCCGGGGCCAGACTGGCCAACCCAGCTTCCTGCTTCCTCTCCCCATCGGCTGCCTTTGACACCCAAATGCATCCAGTTCTAACAGGAAGAGAAAGCCAAGGAGATACCTGCTGTGCCGACCAAATCACTGCTCAGTGGCTCCAGTCTGCAGTGCAGACCGAGACGCTGGGGGCAGGGCACTGGGGTGTCCCAGGCAGGGCAGCTAAGTCTCCATTCAGCCCAGAGCTGCCACTGCCGCTCCTTGGAGCAGAGGCAGGGGTGAGGTGCCTGGCACAAGGCTCCTGGACTAGATGGAGATACAGAGGGCTGGAGACATCCGACAGGGGCCGCCGCTGAGCTCCTTTATACAGGCTTAGCAAGAGGAGTCTGGGGACCTTGTCCCCTTGACTCGCTAGGGCGCTAAGCGAGCGAGCGAGCGAGCGGGACTGTCCCAGGAATTGAAGCCCATCAGTAAGTCATTTCAGAGTGGCTCTGACCTCCCCAGGCGATTTCCAAGGCCAGGCAGCTTCCGCCTGAAATCAATGCCGTCACTGGCACGCCACCTGCACTGATCCGGGTACACCGGGAAAGCACTTCCCCTCCCAGGCTGCATTTGTCCTCACACTAGTGCCCGGGGCAGCCAGACCAGGGCGAGTGTCCGTGCTGTACTCTACAAAGAAAAGGACAGACGGATGGTCTCCGTGACTTCCTTAGGGTTGAAGCTTCCTGGGTGGTTCTGTGTTCTTCCTACTACACTGATCACGGATTTACTTTCCTGGGAAGATTCTAGAATATCTTGCTCAAGATGGAGGCTCAGACACTTCCGGAAGAGTAGAGGATGATGTGACGGTGGACAAGGCTATGGAATGCTAGCATTCACTTTTCTCGATGGTTAAAAGCATCTTTCTGGGGGCCACTGTCCTGACACAGCAGGTTCGGCTTCTACATGTGGCACTGGTGTCCCACATCGGAGCACAGATTCGAGTCCCAGCTGCTTGGCTTCCGATCCAGCTCTCTGCTAATGTGCCTGGAAAAGCAGTGGAAGATGGCCCAAGTGCTTGGGACCCTGCCATCTGCATGGGAGACCTGGAAGAAGCTCCAGGCTCCTGGCTTCAGCCTAGTCCAGCCCTGGCCATTGTGGCCATTTGGAGAGTGAACCAGCAGTGGATGATCTCTCTCTCTCTTTCCTTTTCTCTCTGTCATTGTGCTTTTCAAGTACATAAAATAATTTTTTAAAAAGCATTTTTCTGGGGCTGGAGCTATGGCATAGCATGTAAAGCCACTGCCTGCAGTGCCAGCAGCCTATATGGGCATCGGTTTGAGTGCTGGCTGCTCTTCTTCCCATCCAGCTCCCTGCTAATGAGCCTGGGAAATCAGCAGAAGATGGCCCAAGTCCTTGGACCCCTAAATCCAAATGGGAGACCCAGAAGAAGCTCCTGGCTCCTGGCTTCTGGCTGGCTCAGCTCCAGCTGTTGCAGCCATTTGGGCAGTGAACGAGTGGATGGAAGATCTCTTTCTGTCTCTACTTCTCTCTATAACTCTGCCTTTCAGATAAATAAATAAATCTCTCTTTTTTTTTTAAAGTGTTTTTCTACGTTAACTGAGTATGTAACCCAAACCATCAAAACAAAAAGGACCCAGAAATGTACCGGGAACTCTAAGGTTATGTGAAAAACATCCTAAAGAACCAAGTGCATCTGTGATGCAATAGAAATGATCGCTGGGCAGCCCCTCCAAGCTGGCTAGGGGTGTACAGCACTTCCGTGGGAAGCAGTGGCCAAAGCCCTCCATTTCACTTGGTCCCAGGCCTTCCCAACCACCACGGTCCCCTCTGGTCTATATCTGTGTGACCAAGACTAGCATCCCCTTTCCCTCTCCAGGGAGAAATTCTTCCTTATCAAGGACAAAGAGGCAAAAGGCTGGCTCGCCTTCCTTGCATGGCCCAACCTTCCCCCGGGGAATGCTGACTCACGTGCCTGTCCGGTCGGGTCCTGCCTGTCCCCAGAGCCTCAGCACACAGCTCCCCTTCAAGTGCCCCAGCCCTCCTTCCGGCAGCCACTGCGCCTGTCTGCCCTCTCTTCGGCAAGCTTCTCCCAAGTCTGGCAGCCCAGGCAACACCACAAGCCACCTGCTCCTTGAGCTTGTGAAGCTGAGCTTACCCCAGTGCCTGTGGCTCTCAGCACAGGCGGCTTCTCCAGACACCCCCTTACACGCCAAGGGAGCTGCTCTCCTGAAATCTTCAGGCCTCTCATCAGGTTAAAAAAGACTGCAGCATCTGGAAAGGAAATGCTTTTCCCCTGACAGTGCCACCCATCAGCTTCGCTCAAATGCCAGCACGGAAGACACACGGAAAAAAAGACACACACACACACACACTCCGACCAAAGTCAAGTTCCCCTGACTTCTTCACTTCTCCGTGTCTCCTCCGGTGCAGAAGCGGCACTGCTCATTCTCAAGCTCAGCAGGAGGTGCTGGGACAGACACTGGGACCACCCAGGTCTAGGGGGAAAAATTCTTTCAGTGTCTTTGTAACCCGTAAGTCAATCATGGAAGTAACAGAACAGGGAAAGTTATCTTCCGTGTTCTGGAGGAGGCAATAGTCTGTTTCCAAGGTTAGAGTGTCAAAAAAAAAAGGGGCTGGGGGATAGGGAATGTAGGGGTGGGCGTGTGGCACAGTGGTTAAACCTCCACTTCAGATGCCTGGGTTTGAATGGCATCTCCTCTCTCCATTCCAGTTTCCTGTTAATGCACACCCTGGGAGGCAGCAGGTGATAGGTCAAGTACTTGGGTCTCTGCCACCCGCATAGGAGGCTTGGATTGAGTTCCTTGGCTTCTGCCTGGCCCAGCCCTGGCTGTTATGGACATCTGAGGAATGAATTTGTGGATGAGAAATCTCTGTCTGTCTCTCTCTTCCAAATAAATAAATACATTAAAAAATCAAAACCTTGTTTTTCTATTTTAAAGGCAAAGCTCCAAGTCAAACCAGATTTTTTGCCTCCCAGTCCAGTAAAGTCTACGCTAAGCCACACAGCCTGAATTGGGCATGCAGGTGAACAATGGACAAGCAAATGTCGGGATACAAGTGCATGGCTGATGTTGTCCAGGCAGCCTGTGATGTCACCCTGAAGAGGGGTCTTCCCAGGAATCCCCAGTCACTTTAAAAAAATGTTTTAGTTATTTTTTGCTTACTTGAAAGGTAGAGTTACAGAGAGGATGGATGGAGAGAGAGATAGGGAAATATCTTTTTTTTTTTTTTTTGACAGGCAGATTTAGACAGTGAGAGAGAGAGACAGAGAGCAAGATCTTCCTTTTTCCGTTGGTTCACCCTCCAAATGGCTGCTATGGCCAGCATGCTGCACCGATCTAAAGCCAGGAGCCAGGTGCTTCCTCCTGGTCTCCCATGCAGGTACAGGGCCAAAGGACTTGGGCCATCCTCCACTGCCTTCCCGGGTCACAGCAGAGAGCTGGACTGGAACAGGAGCAACCGGGACAGAATCCGGCGTCCCAACCCGGGCTAGAACCCAGGGTGCCGGCGCTGCAGGCGGAGGATTAGCCTAGTGAGCTGCAGCGCCAGCCCTGGGAAATATCTTTAATCTACTGGTTCACTCCCCAAATGCCTGCAACAGCCAGGGGCTGGGCCAGTCTGAAACTCCATCTGGGTGCCCCACATGGGTGGCAGGAGCCCAAGCACTTAAGCCATCATCCGCTGCCTCCCAGGATGCATTAACAGGAAGCTGGGTCGGCAGAAGGGCCAGGACTTGAACTGGCATGCTCACAGGGGATGCAGGCATCACACATGGTGACGGCTTAACCTGCTGTGCCACAATGTCCGCCCTCCTGTCAAGAGGGGAGTCCGTGCTTCTGTTGGGTGCTCTCTCCACAGTCTTGTGGTGAGGAGTCAGGTGGGTTAATAGGTAGTCAGGGGATCCCAGTGGAATTTGGGGTGTAAAATATTTGCTTCCTTCCCCCACCTTCCTTAGGAATCTCCAAGTTTACCATGAGAATAGCAAGGGAGCTCTTCCTGAGCTCACAGCTAACTGTGAAAACCAGTTACCTATCCCACCCTTCTGGGTGGCTTTTTTGTTTTATCTTGAGCAGGCCAGACATGATGGAGAATTGTAAATGAGGCCTTTTGATGGGTTTTGTCCCAGTCTGAATGCCAATCTGATTGTTCAGTTTTATTCCCTTCGAAATTGTACTTAAAAACCTCACGACCACCAACCCTTTGGGCTTTTTCCTCTCTTGGAAGCCTCCCTCCACCGCGCTCTGGCTGGAGGTCTTTGACGCTAATAAATCTATGTAAATCTCTCTGCTGTCCGCTTGGAAATTCTTCTTCCATGTGAGACAAAGAATCAAGGTAACAATAATTTCTCCAGTTTTCCTAACAGTTTGGCTGAGAGGAGGGTTGATGCCTTCTGCAAATCAGAGATCCTTAGCCTGTATGACCCAGGTCCCTTCTGCTCCCAGAGAGAGAAAACAAAGAACTGTCCAACTGCGACAAGACAGGGGCGAGGCAAGAGGGAAAAGACCTTCAGCTATCTTAGGAATGTGCCCCCATCAGAACGCTCCCTGAGGCGTTTGCACCCTTCTTAAGAAGGGCAGCTCTCTGTAGTCTGGGCAATTTCACAGGGCAAAGCAGGGGCACGCTCTGAGGAATATGCACACCAGACCTGCTGTGGCCACACTCATTCTCACGGAACACATCTCAAATGTGCAGAGAACGAAACGAGAAGTCATCGGTGCCACCCTGTGGGCACAGCAACCCAAGATGGGAATCAGCTACTCTAAAGTGGACTCTTTAAAGCAGCAGAAATGATCTAAAGGGGTAAAACAGGGTGAACTGCAGGCACAGGGCAGGTAACCCCGACCAGCAAGGAATTCTCCTGGGAGAAAAACTGCAGGCAGAGGGCAGGCAACCCCGACCAGCAAGGAATTCTCCTGGGAGAAAAAGAAAAGCACTGGGGTCACTGGGGTCACCCCACACCTCTCCTTCCACTGAGAAGCTTCCAGAATGCTCTTAGCCCTTGGGTTAAACAAACTGTAAGGTCAAGAGACCAACAGACACATGAGGAAGGGGCAGGAGCAAGCAACTCATCAAAAAGAGAAACACAAATGGTTAATATTTGAAAAAAGTT